TTCCCAGTTCGGGTGCCTGACTTCTGCAGTGCCTTGGAACATCCCCCCGATATTAAATGCAACTTATTGTGGATGTTGTAGTAATATTAAAGGGTGTGGGGAAGGAGAATGAGCAGAGAACAGGATTAGATTAGGTGATTCATGTTGAGACCATCAGCATTGGCTGGTTTCTGTGCAGGAATAGAGAAGGTTAACGAATATCTCAGCAGCACTTGGCTGCAGTAGACACTAGCAGCAGGTTAGACTAGCCATCTGGGTGATTCTGGCTGGGGCTGCGCTGCACTGTTGGACATCCCTCTTCCTTTGTACGTGATGCTGTATATAGAGTACTAACCACCAGCAACCGGCTAGAAATAGGGACTTAGGTGTTAACCTGGCTTAGTCTGTAGCACTTTTGCCTCCTAGTCAGAATGTAGTGGGTTCAAGCCCCACATTGAAACTTTGAACTCAGTCTCTACTGACACTCTACCAACTAATTTATATAGTTGGTATATTTCACGCATGGTAGCACATCGGCACACTTAAAATACTGCAAAGCTGCGCTTAGTGTTGGGCCAAATGCCCATCATTCCAATCTGTTTTGGGGGATTACTGCAAAGGCAAAGACGCGAAAAAGAGTAAGGAGTTTCTCTCTCCCAGTGTCCTGGCCAACAATTCCCCAAATAACATTGGTCACCCACTCCATGGCTGTTTGAGGGACATTGCTGTGCGCAAGGGGTTATCAGCCACGTTTCGCCCACAAAATATAGTCAATCCACTCTACATTATATTCTTTGAAGAGCTTTGAGATGTCTCAAGGATGTGATTAGGAACTATATCAAATGCAATGATTAATATGAATAAAATTGGTCATTTACTTCAGGGCGGTTTCTGCTGTACCTACTGGGTACAAAATAAGCAGCCATCAAACTTCAACAGCAGCAGAGTACAACAGAAAAGTGCATTTATATAGCAGCTTTCATGACTGGGGGATGTCCCAAGGCACGCTAACAGTAAAATCTTGTAGAAAGCTTTGAGACGTCTCCACAATATGATAAGGCGTTTAATCAAAATTCAGAATTATTAATAATAACTTCAGTGATACTGTTTGCTCTTTACAGATGTTTTGTGACCCAATGATCAGATTTGTGTGTGGTGGGTGTGGGGGTGCGGCAGGTTACTTACCATTTGAAGCAATCCTGATCTGTTCTCAGGTTGTGTTAAATGGTCTCTCCCTATGTAAGCAAGTCCAGAATGTGCTATATTTGATCCAGTTACATGAGGGCCATTTATTATATTGAAAGCAGAATATATATATATATATATATATATATATAAAATCTTTGGGCAAATCCTGAAGACATGGCAGATGAACAATGAGATATGATCTCAAACTCGGATGGTGGAACATGACAGGCATTTTGATTGAATTGATTCAGAGTAGTTAACATCAGTGAGAGTCCCGCATGCTGCTGTGTAATGTTTCACCCCTACCAGTTCTGACATCCCAGCGGTTCCATTTGTGTAGTTAGAGGGTGGTGATATATCCAAAGGTTTTCAGATGATTAAATCAAGACTGTTTTTAACGGTTCCATCCAGGTACGAGCTCCCTCTTGGTCACTCTCCCAGCTTAATTTGGCTGCTTTGGTATTCATACATAGCCTTTTCCAATGTAACTTGCTGTGACTTTACTGGAGATGTAATTTTTAGTTCCTCACTGATCAATTGACTTGTCAAGTGTCTGACAGCTTTTGATTACACTACCAATGGTCTCTGTTTACCTCCAATAATAACTAATAAAGCATTAAACACGTCCATCTGATATCGTATTATATGCATGTACTGGAAGGCCCAGTTATGCTGGCTAGCCCTGGAACAAGGGTCAGAAATGCTCAGACTGGCTTATTGTCCATAGTGACTGGCTTAGGCTTGTAATAATGCGGATTCTCATTGTCAAAAGTTCTAAAAGACTCAAGAACCATGAAACAATGAATGACATGAGTGGCTGGAAATAGGCGATGAGCTCACGTTACATAGAAAACTCAGTGCTGACAAGAGTGGTTGCTGATTTGATGATATGTTCCATACTACGCTGCTGGCCAGGACTCACCCATAATTCTTACTGGAGAAAGAAACAGGTACGATGGACAGAATTGCCTCCTTCTGTGCTGTAAGATTCTATGAAATATAAAGGGGCCACTGTCCATCCTGTGAAACCTACAACCAAGCAAAGGCAGTCTGATCCGCCACGACTCACCACGTTTGATCCGAAGTCCACATAAAGGATTAGTGTAATAAACAGCTTCCCGTCAGCTTTACGAGAATTAAAAATCAAAATCACTTATAAATCAGTAAAGGTTTATTTACAAAATTCTTAAGTATTAATAAGACAATTTGTTATCAAATATATATACATATGTATACACAGAGGAAAACCCATTATTTTACAATTCCATATTACACACATTATTCCTTTCCCCAAGATAGCAAGAGGAAGGACATGGCCTTGAATAGGAATGCTCAGTCTGTGCAGTATTTACACACTATACACAGTACACAGTCGAGTACTCCTCTGTGTAGTTCTGTTCTGTACAGTAAATAGGCAAGTCTCCTTGTCTTCGTTCACCTGGCATACACTTTGAGAGACTGGGTACAATGCTATGGAGATGTGTCCATTACAGCACTGACCACAGCAGCATTTTCACTTCCATGTTCTTAATAAATAGTCCTTTTATTTTTCTTCTGTCTTGTAGAACCAGCCAGCATTCCTGCAGAACAATGCACAGTAGTGGCTTGCTCATGTATATAGGTAAACTAAGGCAACGTTTTGAAACTCGAGCTCTACAGATGGCTGGTCACGACCACTCTCTACTCTGAAAACTTGGAACAGAAATATTGGGTTTAACGTTGAGTCACTAGTGCTTAACTTTGATTTCCTGGGGCTTCCACCTCAGCCTGGGCTTTGAACGATTGGAATTAAAAATCAGAATGAACCTGCCCTTTTGTGCCTTGTGAGCAGAGATCCTGCTTAGCAACAGCTCACTTTTGGGTGCTACATCACGTAGCATTATTAACTTTTTTTTAAAAGAAAAAAACAAGCAATAGTGGTCTTGAAAGATGAAAGCTTAGGTATAGCAATCTGTGGATAACTTTCATCCCAGTTTAGCCCACTTGTCACAAAGACCGAGATCCTGAGCTGCACAGACTAAGGCAAGAAACAAAACCTATCTCACCGAATCCAGCGCAGCACACAGATTTTTGGCTAAACTTTGCACATAATTCACACACACAAAAAAAGGCCCTGAATGCAGTTTATTTTCAGCAGTCACACTGGGATGGTTTTCTACACTCATTTAAGATTTTATCTCTCTCACTAGAGATCAACTCACAGGTGGGTGGAAATTCCGGTTGGCATTACTCAAGGTTGCACGATTGCTTGATGATAATAATCCTTGCATTTGATATAGCGTCTCATTACATCCCAGCAGTGTCCCACAAACATGGATTGAGTGTCCAAATTATTATTATTATTATTTTTTTGAAGGGATTACTACTCCCAATCCGCCAACCCACTAACAACTGGGTTCGTACTTACTGCTAGGTAAGCAGTGGCGTGTGGAATACGAAAACGTGCCTAACATTTCGCCCTGTCTGGGAATCAAACCCAGGTCCTCTCGCTTGTGAGACGAGTACTCTAACCAATACGCTACAGGACTCCACAATGCACATTTATAACGGGGGGTTTGGGACACATTAGTGGTCAAATTCACATTGGTGCTATGCACAAAACCGATCAGAATTTCAGCCCATAAAGCTGAACTCAAACTAGACTTTGGACCACTAACACAGAATTATAGGAGTGAACCTTTCTCTGAAAAAAAGAAAATTACAAACTGACTTACAAACATCAAAGGAAAAGATTGGGTCCGATTTAGTGAGGCATGACACTGGTTTTGACAATGTGCACCTTTGATGTGATTTCACATTATAACCGTATTAAGTACATTAAATGGACTGCCACACAGACACCATCATCTTTTTAGGAAACTTCAACATGCAAAAATAACCTTCTGCTCTTCACAAATCTTCAAGGGTGCAACCATCTACCTTTAAAATAAATGCCCTTTTCAGTTCCTCTGCGATCCATCAATGGGAAGTAGTCTTGCTTGCTGGCCATTCTCCCATACAAGCCACCCAGTCTCTCTGGGCCACTTACTGAAAGAATGCACAGCTACATAATTGGTGACAGCATTCAGACATGCTGGCAGAAGGTAAATTATAGCTGTGGCGAGGAGTGAGTTTAAATGGGATCTTCCGCCATTCTAACACCAAGTTTGGTAGTTATTCTTCAAAGAAGGTTACGCTTCACATGTGGTAGGGAAATGCAAGCTGCACCATTGGGAAATTATAGGGACACTGGACTCTGTTGGGACAGAACACAGGTGCAGGAGGGGGTGGGGGGTGGGGTGGGGTGGGAGGAAGAAGAGCGGGATGTCCTGTCAGGTGGGGGAGGGGGAGAATAAACTGTCAGATGACTTGCCAAAGATGGACAGATATCTCTTGGTTCTCTCAGCCACATTGATCTGTCTGTCCCCAGACTGTCCCCAGGTTGGTTAGATCCACAAACTCAAAATGAGGAATAATAAATACCTTGGCTCCAGTCTCCATTGTTCTGGCACGCTTGGGTCTGGCCTGAATTACTGCAGAGAAACTCCTGAATAGCCTCCATCAGTCAACCAGTCTCATTAACGGTCAATATCTGAGTCCGTCAATGGAACAAAGAGAGATTTTCCACATCCAAAATAACTTAAAAATCACATCAAACAGTTACTGTAAAGGATCACTTTTCTCTGTCAATCATGCAGGCACACTCTTGCTCATTAGTACAGTGGTCGATCATTGTCAATAGAAGATATTTGTTATCCTTGATTCACCTCACACAAAAAACAGCATACACCAAATACAGATACCAGAGCAGGTATGCCAATAAATTACACTTTGCCTCTGCCCTTCTACTCTCCTGAAGCAACTGATATAAGCTGGAGTACAGTTCCACGTTTATGGAACCACCACCTTCCAATACATTGCCAGTGCTCATCCGTTCCGCGTACTGAAGTGTGTGTGTGTGGTGGTGGTGGAGGGGAGAGGGGTCAATTTCAGCAAAGCCCAATCCTATCCTCACCAGACATACACCCACAATTCCAGCAGAGATCACTGAAGGCAAGTGATCAGTAGCGGAAATCCTGGTTGCCATTTGCTCTTCTTCCACCAGGGACTGTAGCCCCAACGACGGTCCCCAGGTTGGTTAGATCCACAAACTCAAAATGACCAGAAACCGAATTTACAACCTCTTGTTCTGTGCAGGGCTACAGCCAGCGGTCGGTCCGTGTCTTTACCCACATTGGGGGAAGCCTATAGTGAAGTTGTTAATGCAATGACAGAAGTCTGTTTGAATGCCTCTGAATGAAAGTCTCTGCTACTGTTTAGATAAATAAATCACAAAATGGTGGATATAAATAGGAAAATAAATCGGAGCTTCTGGTATCTATATCTGGCTAAGAAACCGCCAACCTAAGTCTAGAATGGGTTCAAAACCCCAGACTATCTGGTGACCATGACCGATTAATGAAACCTGGCTCAAGGCAAAGTGACAAGTCTGCAGGGGGTTAAGGACGAGTTTGCCTCCTCCTCGCCTCGTTAACCTTTTGAATGAATGGCCAGTCAGACTTTTTCTCCATCAGTGATCTGCTGACACGGTCGGTGTTAGGATGCTACGAGCTTTGATCGTTTCTCCTGAATCTGGTTTAGTACATCTATTGTGTCTTTTATAAGGGCCTCGAAAATACCATCCGCTAACTGCATCTTAACACAGAGTTCATCTTCATCGTAATTCACCCACTGCGCTTCCTCCTCGTGAAGCTCCTGGACCTGGAAGAGAAAACAAGGCCAATTAAAGAGCTTGCTTGGAGTTCTGTAGTGTAGTGGTTAGTGCGCTTGCCTCACAAGCGAGAGGACCCGGGTTCGATTTCCTGGCGCATTTAGCAAATTTCCTTACTCCACACGCCTCTGTTTACCTAGCATATACTTAGTAGTAAGTAGTAACCTGGTTGTTAGTCGATTTGCAGATCGCTATCTGGAGATAATAATCCCTTCATATAATCATAGAATTTTACAACACGGGAGGTCATCGTGCCTTTGCCAGCTTTTTGAAAGAGCTATCCAACTAGTCCCACTCCCTGGGTCTTTCCCCATAGCCTTAGTAATTTTAGATTTTTGAGTAAATATCCTATTCCTTTTTGAAAGTTAATATTGAATCCGCTTCCACCACCCTTTCAGGCAGTGCATTCCAGATCATAACAACCTTCAAAAAAAAATCCAACTGTGAACACTGCTGTGCAGAACTGGCTGTGAAGTCACTTTATAATATATTCTATGAATCGCTTTGAGACGTCTCAATGACATGAGAAGGCGCTATATTAAATGCAAGGATTATTATTATTGCTTGGGGCACATTCTTGGGCAGTAACTCTGGTCGAAAACTATCATAAGGAAGGGCTTGTTAGGCCTAATGCTCTGTTTGCCCTGAAGCTTCTAATGATGCAGTTCCGCCAGAGGAGGGTATTGCTACTGGACAACCTTCTCCTGCAAATGATGAAATGCAATGGTTTAGTGGGGTACTGGGGACATGTTGCCTTTATAACCAGCTCGTGGAGAGTATGACTGCACAACTCACCAATATATGATCCACTCGATCACGCTTCTTTCTGCCAAATTTCATCATCTTTTGCCAGTCCGTTTTATTGTTCTGTTCTTTTCTGAACCCAAACAGTTTCAGCACCTCGTTGGAAATGAAGGTCTGCAGATAAACAGAGGGAAGATTTAAACTGCTGTTTAATTTTCACCAGTTCGCTCACCAGAAATTCCTTAAAACCATTGGGAAGGTTGGCACTATTGGTTTGATCTCCAATAAACAACAGTGAACCTACAAAGACACGGAGAGGAAATCTGGTGAAGCTCATGGAGATAGATAACTCAAACTTCAACCTGTTGAGGGACAACTACATTGTGAGTGACATTACCTTAACTTCATCCATATCCTGCAGGTTCCTCACTCGTCTGAAATAAGCTGAGCTCATCCGGCTGGACTTCATCCAAGGAGGCTGGGTGGCGTTGGGGTCTTCCGCAAAAATCTCACTAAAAATCTCCCTCGTCAAGTTGAACATGGCCTGAGGACACAGGAAGATTACACTCAATTCCCCGTTCCTCCCCAAAATATTCAGCTTGATGAGTTTAATCTTTTAATACTTCTGGATGGCTGCCAGCACAGAACGATTGCCCACACAATCACAATCCGTGGTTCTATGCCCGTTAATAACATTGAGCTTATGTTCAAAAGAGATGACAATCGGAAAAAAAATGAAAGGGGAAGGTTAGAAATCACAAGGGTGGCTGCAAAGTGGAATTGTCTCGTACAACCATGGTTAAAGCAGAACCCATTAATTCTCTTAAAGGAGAATTAGGTGCTTCGTAGATGCATCAAGAGTGTGGGAAGTGAGCAGGAGAACAGAAATGCAGGAGGTGGCTCAAAATAGCAGCTCAGACTCGATGTCTTATTTCTGTGCTGAAACACTGATTTTGCAATCCACCTCACCTACATTTAAAATGCGTCAACCTGGTTCAGTGGTAGCACTCTAGTGTCTGAGCCAGAAGCTTGTGGGACTCACAAGTGTAGGCTGAGACTCCAATATAGGGCTGAGTGTGTGTTGCATTGTTGGAGGTGCTATCCTTCAGATGAGATGTTAAATCAAAGTCCCTTCTGCCTGTTCAGGTAGATGATCCTATGCTACTATTTGAAAAGAGAAGGGAGTTTCTCTCTCCTGCTGTCCTGGTCAACAATTCCCCCAAATAAAATTGTTCATTAGCTTCATGGCTGTTTGTGGGACACTATTGTGTGCAAATTGTCTGCTTGTTCTTCCTACTGGGGATTTAACCTTACACCAAGGAGCAGTGGTGTTCATGCAGAGAATAAAGCAAAGCTCAAAGCAGCAACTCAGCAATTGTATAGCGTGTTCTACCCATCCGAGAAGCCCAGAAATCCAACTGCATAAGAACGCAGGACATTTATTGAGGGATAGAAAAATAGAGGAAGCACAGAGAAAAAGGAGAGAGAAGGCAACAACAATATTATTTTGTTTTTGAAACCATTTGTTATATCTCACCTCATAATAAACTCGTTTACTGACACTCTCGATATCCTGCCCTTTACAGTTGACAAAGTAGTCCCCTGGTATATGCATGTCCTGCAGATCCTGGCCCAGCTCCTGCCACTTCCACAGTTCCTCAGCTGCCACATGGACCATCTTCTCAACCTCCTCTGCATTATGAGGCACAGCAAAGTATGGCTCCACCCGTACTTTCTGAGGTACGGTCTTCTGCACCTCTGCTGGCTGCAGCGGCTGCTGGCTTGGCTCGGGCTGCTGCACTTTGCGAGAGCTCAGCCCAAAATCCTCATCAAACCAGTCCTGTTCATCTCCCAGGTCATCCAGGAGCTCTCGGCTCCATTCCAGCTCTGCAAGCCTCTTGGCCAGCTCCTCTTGCCCACTTGTGCCAAACACTGGGCTGCCCTGTCAAAGAACAGCAATAGACTAGTGAACAAGTTGAATATCTGACTTTAGAAGTACTTATAATCATTTAATTCCAGTCAGGAAAAGGCTGCAGTGAATAAAAGTATTTGTCTGTCAAATAGTCAATATTTTTCTAGTGAAAGGTATTAACTGAAGGTTACTATGAATAAGACTATCTGTACCAAGAGATGGGAGGGAAAATAATGGGAAAGATACATGAAGTCTTTAATCTTTCAACACTAAGAGTGCCCAGAGAGAGAGACGCAAGTACTTACAGGTCTAGCACAAAGGTCTGGAGATAATGGTTCTTCTCGATCATCATCGCTGTCATCCATTCCCACAAGACTCTGCAGCTGGAGCGCAGCAGCATCCTGCACCTCCACATGGAAGGCAGGAGCCCATGGAGTGGATTCATCGGCCAATTCTACATCTAGCTTCTCATTTGTCAGGTGGATCTTCCCATCGCGACTCTTCTTGATGTCTTGCAACTGTTTGACTGTCTCCTTGACAAAGAACGACAGCAGATTGTCAGCCAACGAATTGGCCTTGGTCTCGTTGCCCTCTGGTTCCTCCTCTGCTTGAACCTTCTCACTTTCCTCAAAGATTTCCTCAGACGCAGGCCCCAAGTGTGATGCTCTGAGCTGGGCCTCGAGCTGCTCCTTTTCCCGGGTCAACAAGTCCATGAGGGGTGTAGAAGACACTTCGTGCCCAGCTGGTGAAACCTCTTTCTCCCTTATTGCATCATTTGAAGAAAGGATAGACACTTTAGTGAGGAAATTATCAACCGTGTCTGTCGTTAGCAAGTCAGAAGCTGGTTCTGCAGATCCATCAGGTGGTTTGAAGTTCTCTTTGGTCAGGTTTTCTAACTGATCCTCTGGAGCAGTTTCTGGCAAAATCTCTTCCAAGTTCTGATCACAAACAAAGGATTCCACAGCTTTGGCAGATTCATTAATAATGTGCCCCAAATCAATGATATTAGAGTCAGAAAACTGAATAGATGTGTGTTGTATGTCGTTGCTAGATGCAGTCAGCTTTAAGCCTGCTTTACTGGCTGGGATTTCACTGGTTTGAGAATCTTTGGGTTCATTTACACCCTGCTGAGTCTCATCCTTTGAAAGATATGGCTTTTCCTCTTCCTGACTAAATGCTTCAAGATATTGATTTAATTTACTCTCAAACAAGGATTCTTCATCATCTTCAGTCGTATCGATCAGCTCCTCATAGCCCTCTGGAAGATGGGAAATCTTATGTGGAGGTGCAAAGATGCCATGTTTATCTTTGCATGTAAAGTACACTACGCCATCGTACATGCCGTTATTACTGCCTTCAGGCTTGTCCAGCTCCACCCCAGCCCAAAAGCCATTTGCAAATCTAGTTTGGCCCTTGAAATGCAATGTTCCTGGTTGAACGCTACTAACCAAAACTCTATCTCCAATCTGGAACGTTGGCAGCTCATCTGTTTCAAATGGCATTGGCGTTGAGGTGTGCTCTGGAGAGGGTGATAGCACAGGTACACAGTCTTCAGTGCCTACGTCACTACGCTCTTCATTTTTGCTCCTCTCCGTTGGAGACCTCAACTCCCACAGTCTTTCGGAATGGCTGCTGCTGGAGAAGGATTTTTCACTCAGATGCTCGCTGATTTCTGCATCGGAGTCAATACTTGATGAAACACTCTGGCAACGTCCTTCCTTTTCACTCGTTTCTTCCTGCTTTGGTTGATCATGGAAGAACAGCACAGGTGGCTCAACGGAATGTTCACCCATTTCTTTCCGGGATGAAAAGGCCGCCAGCGATTCAGAGTTGGAACTTCCAACACAGGTATTGGTATGTTCTTCAGATGCTTCCTTTCTGGGTGTTGACTCAAAGTCTTCGGAATAAGTCGGCTCCTTTCTGGTGGAGAGAGCTGAAACTTCTTGAGGATGGGGATCATTTCTGTGCGTTCCTTTATTCACTGCGCTACGGTCAGACTTTACAGATTTGGCAGAGACATCAGACTTGCTAGATTTGACGCTCTTCACTGAGCTAACAGACTGGTCACTTGCTCCATCCTCCTCGTCACCAGAGCCTTCCTTGCCCAGACTGTAATCCCCTTCCTGCAAGTCCCCAACATTCTGCTCAACATGTTCAACTGTTCGTGACTGTGCCTTGTCCTCGGGAGACACCGGGCTTCGCTGAGTCAATGTCTCAGGTAACTCAGGCGTGTGAAAAGGATCAGGACTTACATCAACTAGCTTGAGTAAGGGTTCAGATTTATTAGACTGTTGGGAGAGAACATGAAATTCATCTGCCTCAGATTCCTCCGATTTTATCGTTTGAAGCTCCTCCTGAATATCTTCTTGTCCGGATCTGTGACTTGACACCACACTTTCATCACCAGACCCATCCTCTGGCCTGATGCTTGACACATCTGGCAGGCGCCCACACTCAGTAGCTCCAATCTGAAGTAGAGAGAGGGACACATTGTCCAAACCCTCAGCAAACTCCAGGCCAGATCTCATAGACTTCGAGACTGGTGAAGGCCTTTGAGAAGACTCAACTGTCCGGATGTCAGAGACTCCTGATTTGCTCAGACTCACTGATCTCAGCTCACTCAGGTGCAGATTGGATCTTTGGCTTGACACACTCGACGATCTAGATTCTGTAACAATCGAGTTCAAATAAGAGTTGTAATCATTTGTTCTCCCTGTAACCTGCTTTTCCTTTCACATTTCATCAAAAGATAACAACAAAATGCAATACCAAATTGTGGCATAACATGGGCTTTAAGTCTGATTGAAATGTTTTTGCAGATGGACGCAGTAAACTTCAGCAATAAGCTACTCTACCTAGCAACCATAAAGCCATATTCTTTATCCTGGCTTCGCCCCCGTTCAGAACACATTACAATGTCCAGCGGATTATGAGTTAAATTCTGACAATACAGCATCAAATACATACATACCCTGCTCAGTAGCGGACCCCACTGAAGCTCTGGATTTTTCAGATTCAGTCAGGGATTTCCAGCTCTTGGCTGATTCACTCCTGGAATAGAAGCCACACTTAGAGCTCTGAAACTACAACAACACTAGTCCAAGTGGATATTGTACAAGGCAGAATTTCCAGTTTTACCAGAAGTAACATTACATGGGGACAAGATGTGGCGTAAAAAACCCCAGAACATTTGTCGATTTTAAGCAGGATTACTTAAGGATTCAGAGTCCCAAACTTTCCATGGAAAGCATACCATGAGAATATCTCTCATACAATCTTAGAATTCCCTTCATTTTTAAAAAAAAATCCCTTCAGTATAGGTTTAATGAAGACATCTCTAACAAATTAAATTGTATTTTTTTAAATAAAGAATTGACTCCTTTGTGATGATAATAATCCTTGCATTTGACAAAGCGCCTTATTACGTCATTGAGATATCTTAAAGTGCTTCATAGAATATATTGTAAAGTGGATTGACAGTATTTGTGGGTGAACGTGGCAGCCAATTATGCACAGTGATGTCTCATAAACAGTCATGCACTGAGTGACCAGATTTTTCTTTTTTTGTGATATGGACTAACTAGATACTTCCTGAACTATACAGGTCAGATGTAGCAGCTTCCCAAGATCACTGACTCCTTGGACACATATTACCACTGTGACAAAGGTTTCAGTGACAAATCACCCCAGAGCAGAATCACTGATACCACCCATATGGTTTGCCAAGAACTTGGCTTTCTCCTTTAAATAAAGTCAGCCAAAGAAAATTTCTTCAGGTGGGTTATTGGTTTATGTCTGTGGCACTGACGGCCTAATACCTTTGCAGAGAGTGTGGTTTAATCTTGAGCTTCTCAGCAGAACTGGATGGAGTTTTGATCTGTGGTTTTGTTGAGGTAGATAGATCTAGGTCTTTGCTTAGCTCAGCTTGCGTCTTCTTGATGAATTCGTCATAGGACTAGTGATGAAACAGAAGCACATGGAAATTAATGAGGAAGCTCATTTCACCTGAGGCAGCAGCTTGGGCTACAATTGGCAGAAGAGATCCACTTAAAGGGTCCTGCACAGTCCAATGTTAAACCGAATTATTTCACACCCCTAGCATTTATATCTGAGGTAATATCATGGCACATAAAGATTACAAATGATGCACAGGATTTATACTGTATCTAAATATTAATCACTGCCATCTTTTTTTTGCAAATATCAACATGGCACTCGTTTTTTTTGGAGGGATTATTATTAGGCTCTGTGTGGAGTAAGGAAACTTGCCCAAGGTTTCGCCCTCTGCCTGGAATTGAACTCAGGTCTCTCGCTTGCAAAGCGAGTGCTCTAACTACTGAGCTACAGGACTCCACAAAAAAAGGGCACTTTTAGAGATCATAGGAACCCCTCAAGCCTATTCCGCCATTCTATTAGATCATGGCTGATCTGTACCAACTCTATTTACCCACCTCATTTCCTTGATACCCCGACCTAAAAATCTATCCACCTCAGTCTTGAAAATTTCAATTGATGAAGCATCCACAGCCTTTTGGTGGAGGGAGTTCCAAATTTCCACCACCCTTTGTGTGGAAAAGTACTTCCTGATTTCATCCACACTTTAGTGCGATTTGCTAAGTTCCTTGACAGGAATTATTAGACAATAATCCTTCACTATCTAGTCAAAGCAATAGATATGCACTGTATTCTTACCTCCAGCTGTTTGAGGAGGCTGGCCTCCTGTGCTTTCAGTCTCTCCTTCTGTCTCTTCCTCTGTTCTTTCTTGAGTTGATCTACAATGGACTTTCGTTTCTTGAGCTCGGCCTTCAGTGCACGGATCCTGCTCTCAATGTCACTCTGGTCTGAAGCGGTTTCTGTAAAGCAGATGCTCTCCTGGGTTATATTACACAAACTCACTCATGTGCTCAACAAATGGCAATGCTGAGATAGAACTTTCACCACAATTGCACTGTAACCTTTTTTTAAAACCATTAACAGTCAAGAAATAGCAAGTGGGGAGATTGAAGGAAAAGAGGGGACCTGATAAAGGTGTTTAGGATCATGATCCATAATCTTATAGCCATCCTCATCAGAGCAACTCAGCTTGCATTTTACAATATTGAGTGCTTTAGATGTTGTTCATTTTTGACTGCAGGAAACTGAGTAACTGAGTAAAATTCACATGTGTGCCAGTGTTTTCTTACCTGAATATGTCATAGAAACAGACTCATCAGACCAGCTACCAAATGGTTTCCGTGCCTTTCCTGGGGGGCTGATCTCCACACTGAGACTGGAGCTGCTTTTTTGGCCATCTTGCTTTGAATCAGTGACACTCACTTTCAAGGGAGGAGACTACACGAGAAACAAAATGCAATAAATAGTTGGAACATTAATAAAGTTTTTTGATAAACGGAAACACATCAACAAGAACATCTGGGCAAGGGAGAGCTTATGAAGGATGCTTGCTCACATATGTGACTGCCCCACACAGTGAGGCCCTGACCTCAAGCCTTCAGCTATGTCAGTGATGGTAAGCATCTTCATTCTGCTGCCTTTGGAGTGCAGGGACGGAACAGAGGGGAAAGCAAGAACATATTTTTGAACTTCAAGAAATAAAGTGTACAATGTTGCTTGCCTGCGTGCTTGGTGTAATCACAGATTCAAACTCCTGGGAATAGGCTTCTGATATAAAAACACTCCTCTCGTGGTTGGAGGGCTTCCTCTGGGTGACAGACGCTGACTCCACACTCTGTGCAGGGGGACTGGTAACCTCCTCTGGAATGGAACTATCGCTGTTGAAGTGGGAGCTTGACGGTGCTGGGCACTCCTCCTCACTTGCTGTGTCTACATCAACAAAAGTCAAAAGAAACATTGCCATCAGCAAGTTTAGTTCACTGTTGATTACTCACTGATAAGAGAAATAACTTGGTATGAGTCTTAAACTTGTCCTTCCCTCCCTTGAACCTATGACTGCCTCACACAGTCTTGTTTCTTGGACTAACTGGAAGTAACATGCTGGATTTATTTCTTCTATCTCATTTCAAATCAATTACATATAATTTAACATCTTTAGCTTTTATTTCTATCCTTTAATAATAAAAAGGACTCCAAAATTCAGAGCCCTGATCAGATGAGAACAGACTTGAAATGAATAGGCCTGAGAGGGCTGAACCCACACTGCTTAATGATAATGGGTTCACAAAGCTTCATCCACTTGGCACCTGCCCTTTGTCTGCCATCCCACCACCTTTATCTGTGTTCGAAATCCATCTAAAGATGTCTCTTGTTGTGACTGTGCAGTCACTTTAAATCCTTTTTTTTTTAAAATCAGAAATCTTTGTAACAATCAGATGGGGCAGACAATCTGACATGAGCTGATATCTTGCGTTTGATGCCTCCTTTACTCCAGAGGTTTGCTTATATCTGGATATAAAGACTCCCAGCGCCTTGCACTGGTCCCAGTTTATAAAAGTAAATCAAGATTTCAAGGTAAAATTCTCACAGCAAAAGTTATAAATGTAGTTGTATTAAAGTGTGGAGAACACATTTGACTTGCTTTTTAAGTCTTATAAAAATATACAATGAAAAAAAGTTTGCATTCATTGCTGATACAAATCAGTGTAAATCAAATCTAACTGACTCATAATCAAATGTAATTCAAATTCTGGTGTCTGAACATGATAGCAACTGGTGGGCAGGTAAGGGGTGTAATGTAGTGAATAGTGTGTAATGGTAGCAAACGGGGCAGAGATGGAAATGGCAGCAAGGCCATGGGTTTGCCTGATGGCACAGTGGGTAAAATCATCATATGGTGTTTAACTGAACCACACAGACCAAGAGAGTTCTGAACCAAGCCGGGACCAGTGCTGAACTTAGATGAGGCTGTGGAAGGGAAATAAACCGCTGGGGTTTCCACACCTGAACTCAGACTGTGCTGTCAGTAGCTCACAAACCCTGGATACCCTGTGGATGTGTAGAGCAGCCCCAGCCACCACATTGGGGAGCTGAGGTGTGAAAATTGGGAGTAAGAAAGTGAGCTTCAGACCTTTTGACCCTGGGCTTCTTTCACTGGACTCTCTCTTTGCAGTTTTTTGCCTGAGGAGCTCCTTGTCCCAGGCAGCCAGCGCCTGCTTTTCCATCCTGCGGATCTCAGCTTCCTCTGCATCCAGCCGATGTTTCCACTCCAACAGCTCCTCAGCATGGCGGCGCCGGTGCATAAGCTTCTGCTCCCGCTTAGTGAGGAACCTAGTCAAAGTAAACACAACATTAACATTCGTACAATCTGTACAAGCATGAAGATTTATGTTTACAATTTCAATATCTTGGACAAATCATTCTTCACTTGGATCTCGGAGGCCAAATTTGACCATTTTCCTATTAATTCATGTGTCTGGATTGTGCAGAGTTGTATCTGCCTCTAACAGCACCTGCAGTGTTAAGTGGCCAGACTTCACTTTCAACAAACAAAGTGGTTAATCAATGTATTTGACAGGATTCTCATCGAGCGAGCCGGTGTGTATTGTGGCAGCTTCAATCTACAGAATATTCACTCCAAATGAGTAACTAAGTGTTTTGAAATGTTTCAGAGTAGCTCAATACAAAGGTTTATACAATGCCCTTTGAACAAGTCTGAGTTTGTAAAATGTAATTCAACTAAATGTCGAAGGACCTGAACATTTGGTTAGAATCAAAGAAAGTTACAGCACAGAAACAGGACATTTGGCCCATCAAGTCTGTGCTGTTTTTCTTCAAACAAGCCAACCTCAAGCTACTCTCATGCCTGCTCCCCATACCCTATAATATTCCTCCTCTTCATGATTCTAATTCCTCACAAAAGAACTTATGGACAGCAGCTGGAATAGCTGTACATGATCTCTTAAAGATGTTTTTCATTTTTTCCAGATACCCAAAAGATTTCAATACATACACATACATTCACACTCATCTAGGTCTATGCTCAGCTCACTTCACTTAGTTTTGAGGATTAAGCAACTCTGAATTGTTCCCAACAGCTACACATTCATCACTAGAAGGCACTTGCGTTTGGAGATCTAGGAAAACGATTAGGCAGGTGAATTAGACAGGAAGGGTACCGTGCTGGGAATGTGTACACTGGAGATGAGAAGGTTCAGGGGACAGAATCTCCCTGGTTCAGGATTTGAGGGAGAGGTGGAGCTAGCAATAAACTGGAACATAATAAGTTTGGCACAACCACAACTACTACAATAAGGAAACACAGATGCAAGCTCATAAGAGAGAAGGTGAACAGCTTAGATGTATATAATATATACAGAGGGTGTTGGTGACTATGCAGAACAGGCTGTTAGAAAGATGATGTTAAAGAGTTTTAGCAAAAGAGATTGAAGGCTAAGAGATGCATCTATGTCCAAAACATATTGTAGTATTGGCAAGATTACGGGTAGATTTACAAGGATGTTACCAGGAATGAGTGGATACAGCTATCAATGAAGAATGAACTGGTTGGAGTTGTTCTCTCTGGAGTTGAGATGATTGAGGGGGGGGGCCCTGCTTGAGGCGTTTAAGATTATGCCCCCGTTTCGCCCACAAATATATGGTCAATTCACTTTACAGCATATTCTGTGAAAGCGCTTTTGAGATGTCTAGAAAACGTGAAAAGCGCTATAGCAAATGCAAGAATTATTACTATTATTATGAAACAGTATTTGATAAGGTGGATGTTAATAGGCTGTTCCCACTTGCGTGCTGAAAATGTAGACCTCACTGCCAGAACCTGTGGTTGAAGCAAAAGACATCAAAGTATTTAAGAGAAACAATGCATGCATGAAGGAGGGCAGAAAAGGAGGCGTAGGAGGCATGTGTGGGCACAGACACCAGGATGGACCACTCAGGCCAAATGGCTTGTGTCAGTGTCGTATCATTCTACACAATAGATAGTGCATCTTAAGGTATTCTTCAGCCTTGGTGTAGGTTAACTGCTATGCTGTAATTTACCGTTGAAGCATATTTGATGCTCTTCAATCATTTGCAGTTAAACTTAAGGAAATATTAGAAGTGCTGGCTTAATGCAATGCCCTGATTTGGAGATTACCCCAATTTGCAGTAAATTCAAAAGAACTTGAATTTTGAGTAGTTAAGCAAAGTTAAACATCCTCGCCTATTCAGAAAACAAAAGTATAAAAATTACATCCTGCATTTATACAGTGCTTTTCACAGAAAGTAATAAAGTACACAACATGAGCTTTAATTACCTGCTGCAAAATGGTACATTTTATAATTCTGCCTGTATTAATAACAGCTTCACCACTTCCAAATCAATAGCGTTTTACTTTCCATTACTCTGCAAGTCATTTGCAATAAGTATTCTTGTAAGATATTTGGCAACCCTTGTATTATGTCCATTACAACTTGCCATCCAGTCAGGTTTTCAGGTAGACTGCGACGGCAGCTGCAACTACTGCCATCATTGTGATGCACGGCAAACCACTTCTCAGCCACCCCCCTAATCTATTCTGTATACAGCTTTTTAACCACAAGCCCTGCAGACAAACTCAGTGCTCTTTGCTTCTGTGTTTTTCTGTTCACCAATAGACTCCATCAAATATCATGAAAATGTTGTTTCACACACTGGAAACTTGCTCCTTCTCATGGCCACACTCTCAGGTTACCTCAGTGACAATCAGTGTCTATTTACAACAACAAATTAAATGTTTACACTGCCTTTCACATCGGGAGTACCTCCCAAGGTGCTGGACAGTCGAGAATTTGTACCCGAGCTTGAAGTTGGGATTAGGAGAAGTGGAGGGCAGAGAGGGTAGGGGTAGGAGGGTGACAAAAGGCACGATCGTCGAGGAAGCGCCTTAAGGGAGGACGAAGCGAAGGAACTGTGGGATGGAGTTTCAAAGGGTGGGAGCAGAGAGGCTGAAGGCCCGCCGGCTTCGAAGGGCAGGGGATGTGGAGCAGGCTGGATGCCGCTGAGCAGAGGAGCAGACAGGCCGGTATAGGGCTAGCAGGTCACCGAGGTAGAGTGAAACAAGGCCATCAAAGGCTTTGAAGGCGAGGACAAGGGTGTTGAACTCTATCTTCCAAGGGATGGGGCACCAGTGGAGCTGAGCGAGGATGGGTTCAAAGAGATTAGTGCGGGAGAGGACATGAGCTACAGAGTTCTGAATAATAATTATAGCACAGGAGGTAACCATTTAGCCCATCATATTTGTATCCACAGAAAGGTAAAGCAGTGAGATGTACAACGGTCTCCTCTCTCAGCAGCTCACACAAGAACACAACAAAGCAATACATTTAACCTCAGGCACAATTCGACAATACTCGTGTAATGGTTAAATATTACCTTCAAAATGACATTACACAAATTACAGTGCATTAGACCACTAATTCTAAACACTATCTAAAGCAGGATTTTATCATCAAGAGCTATAGAAATTTACTGCACAGTAGAAAGCTAGTTTAGCCCATTATGTCTGTAATGTACTTTGATGCACATTGAGTCCCATTTACCTGTCTTTCCCCCATACAACTTTGCAAGTTACTCCTTTTTAGATATCTATCTAGTTCCCCCTTGAAACCTAATATGGATTATATGACTTTTATGACTTCTCAAAAGCAATTCACAGGTTTGGCTGCAAACAACAACAACAAATTACACTTGTATAGCGTCCTTCATATCGGAAAGATATCCAAGGGCGCTGATAATCAGGGGCTTTGGACCTGAGCTGGCAGTTGGGGTCTGAATGGGGGAGGGCAGGAGAGATAGGGGGAGCAAGACCATGGACGGTAAAGTGCAGTGGCTGTATTTTGTAGGTGAATGGGGAAGCCAATTTGCACACAGCAATGTGCCACAAACAGTCAATGCACCCTTGCTAATAATTTAAAATAATTAATGCCATGTTTAGTCATATTATAAAACAAATTAATTTTAGTCGGTGTATATTGCACTCCAAATTTTCAGCCCCCCTCAAAAATATAAGAAACTGGGCAGGAATGGTGGGATGTCATGGAAATGTCGACATATTGTTTTGACAGCACAACAAAGGGTTAAAGTGTTCCACTTAGCAAGTTAGCCAACTGCTTCAAGCATCCTGTAGCTTATTGCTCAATGACGGCTATTGCAGTCAAACTCGTGACAAAGTACACTGAGATGCAATCTCCTCCTCTTCCTCGAAGGCTTCTTCACTTTCTAAAACTTCAGGTTTGGCTAAATCCGATTTACAGAAGCAGCTAGTCAGCCAATTCGTTCCAGAAGCCCAGTTGCATGGTCTGCTCAGCTCATGGTCTGCTCAGCTCAGAGGCCTGAACAATCATTGGTCAGAAATAGAAATGGCACATGGTGGGGGGGGGGGGGGTAGGTTATTCAGTCCATTCAATCTCATATTCCAGAATATTAACCCATTGCAACCTCAAGCTGTTTCTTATGAGTCCAGTGTCCTGGTTTTGACCATTCTTCCTAGAATCATGTTATAGCTATCGATCCCTCTCTGTGCGTAAAAAAAACTACTTCTGGTGCGCATGTGTGGTGTGTGGGTGCGGTGTGTGGAAATGGTGAGGGATGATCCCACTGTGGGAAGAGGCTAAATCTCACACTGCTGAGATGGAATTAAAGATTTATAAAACAAAGTTTAATGGGAAGATCTTCCATTCATAACCCGCCAGTGATACGTGGAAGCAACTGTCCATGGGAATCAACACTGGTTCAGGGCAACTTTTGTGACTGATAAAGATGTCATTCTAACTATAGTGACATCAGACAGTTGCAATACAACTATGCAAAGCAGTCTTGTTTGAGAAACAAACAAGAATGGCTGACAACAAGACATCCTCCCAACGTGAATGACTATATAAATATAATTTATGGTTTACAATTTACTCACCTTGGCAACTTTTCCAGTGTCAGTTGGCACTGAAGCGGTCACTGAATTCTGAGGTTGGGCAGTTTTATGGATTGGCCTGAAGCAGATTATATGTACCCAAGAGGACCTTTCACATCTTCTCAGTTGATAAAGAACTTGCAATCAACTAGTACTTGAATCACCAAAACAGAGATAGATAGCAACTTCTATAAGGCACCAAATCTCTGAAGTATCAGCCAAGACTATGGGTTCTGGTGTGAGGTTAGAACCCATAACCTTCTGATCCAGAGTTGAATGTTACCATCAAACAAAATGCAGGATTTCCCAGTGTCTCCCTGATTTGATCAGTGGTCTAGCCACCCGCATTTGGAGGATAGGTCCAGTTAGCTTTTATAGGCAGAACAGAATCAACTGAGATAATAAAAAAATTCTCTTAAACATGGTATCTCTGCTGCATCGGTGTAACATTTCCATTTCCCAAATGGGAATCAACCCGAAAGCAGGATTCTGAACAGCCCAGTGGCATGCAAATGATTTTTGTGGTCTCAATTTTTGACATGCTTTGCAATCACTCACAACCAAAGCTACTTCAGCACTCAACTGAGTCGCTGGTGCCATTACTTATGTTAAATATATGAAAGCAAAAAAATTAAATTTTAAGTGCGCTAAGTGAATGCTGTGACATTTCACCAAAGTATTTTTGCAAGCCTCAATATTTTTGCGAACGGAAATGTCTAGTGCTCACCAAATACATGTGATCACTGTAACCATTAAAAAGGCATTGCTCTCCCGATTGTCAACAACAGCAACATTACATTTGTATAGCGCCTTGCACATCAGGAGGACGTCCGAAGGCACTGGACATTCAGTGTTTCGAACCCGAGCTAGGGGTCAGGATCGGGAAGGATGGAGGGTGGGTGGGTGGGGGGGGGGAAGGAGAGTGAACGAAGGCATGGTTGAAAAGGAGGCTCTTGAGACAGGTCAGAGGGACTGTGGGATGGACCTCTAGAGGGTTGGGGCAGAGTGGCAGAAGGCCCGCCTGCCAACGGCAGGGTGGGCAAGGCAGGGGACATGAAGCAGGTCGGAACCCACTGAGCGGGGGGAACGGGCAGGTTGATAGAGGGCTAGAAGGTCACAGAGGTGGGGGGGGGGGGGGGAGCAAGTCAATGGAAGGCTTTGAAGGTGAGGACCAGGATCTTGAACTGTATCCTCTATACGATGGGTAGGCTTACAGCTCAAATTCAGAGCAGTCCATTCTTCAGTTGATTTGCTAATAACAGCATAAACTGCAAAAGTATTATTCCAAAGTGTAGAATGATTCCAGTCACACAAGCAGCGAGAATGGTACCAGTAACACATACTGATATTTACACTCCTTCCCTTGCAACTTAAATGCACTATTTTAGTGGGTTCAATACCAGCTGTTCCTCCAGCAGTGGTCCCTAATGGCTTGGTGTCTGCCAATCCTGCACAGGGAAAGATTTTGTACTCTCCGCGGAGCTGGGAAACAACAATTGAGCTCTCAGCAGTGGAGTGTAAGCAGGGAAAGAAGTGTGCACTCAGACTCTTAGCTCAATAACCCTTACAACCCTGTGTAATAATGCCCCTTTAATAGGTATATATGTAAAGACAACAACAGATTTCACACCAGCAACTTGCGCATCTATAGAACTTAAATGAGACAGTAAAGGCCCCTTGGGCTCTGCCCCCTCCCTCTCCCCACGTGCATGTGCGGAATCAGAGCATGCTCTAGCAGTGAGAGAAGCAGAGGTTGCACAGTACCTGACCAGCTGGTTGTAGATGTACAGCTGGAATTTGGGGTGAAGGTTTGGGAAACAGACACTGAGAGAGGCCCAGTGGTGAGACGTAAAGACAGAGAAGAAGCAGTGGACAGGAGAGCAGTGTCTACAACAAGGAAGCAAAAAAAGAGAAAATAAAGGACAAGAGCTGAGTATTACCCTGTACCACAGCTCCAGGCTTTGTCAGAGCCACACATTGTAAGATCAGAAGTCCAGATAGTCTAGATCAAGCATAAAGTTCACATTATATACATTTTAAACATTACTTACCATTTGCTCCCTCCCTCCCCTGAACTCTCACCTCAGACCCTGCCTGTTCTAAAGTGAATTACACTTACCATCAGCTTCCCCCCTTTCTGTGCGGTAAGGTATCCAAATAGTGGCACAGCAAATGTCCCCACAGCCAGGGAATAAGGGCCATTGCTCATGGTCACCAACAAACACTGGGATTGGAGCCTACAGATGATGTGAAGCGAGTTTCTTGACTGCTACACTGTGAGGCAGAGAGTGTCTATACATTTCAAGACACGCTCTTAAATCAATACATTCCCAAATTATTTACCCGCCTTCCCCTGCAATCAAATGCACCCCTGCCCCCCAGCCCCCCAACCCTGTAAACAGCATAGAAGTGAAGTTCTGTTCATTTCCTCTCTTTCAGACATACAATTCAGTCCTTATAGCTTGCACCCCACCCAATAACTCAGAATAAAACCCAACATTCATGACAACGTCAATAAATTACTTCTAAACTCCATCACAAATATCATCTCTGAGTTTTATTTAATACAGCAACGTGCAATATTTTCTTGAATGTTTCGCTCTTTCTTTAAATCTCTGCGCATCTAGTTAAGGCAACTCGACAATCCTTGTCCCCTTATCTCACTTCACTTTAAAGCTGTCACTACACAGAGGTGGACAAACCACACCTACAGCCTGTTTGAAAGTATAGAGAATCATAATTTTAATAGTATTTTAGCAGGCACACACTCAGTAACTACACAGGGTAGTCTGTAGCAAGCATGGAGCTAGAATGATTATGCCATCAGGTTTATTTTCAGGGAAGAGGGTGGTTTTAAGGACTCACTAGCAACATTATAAATCAACTTTCTCCAGAAAAAAAGCACTGTTTGCTCTCAGCCTGGAGGAGACTGTGCTGGTGTTTTAGAGAATTCTCTTTTCCTATCTTCAAGGTGTTGACTCATGCTGGCTGATAATGCTACCTATCTCTCTCCTATCTCACCCACATGGCCATTATTGGGCCAGTGAGAGCTGACAAGCTAACAGCTGACATGATCTGGAATCTGACATCAGGTGCTCAACAGGGCTACCTGACAGCAATGAAGAGGGAATAGTACCGAGCTGATACTGCTCTCCCCTGTCTAGTCCACCATCACGCCCTTGAATGACATCAGATAAGGCTGAGCAGGACAGCCAGTGTCCCTTGGGGATTCCTTAACTTCACAGTTCAATACATCATGTGGTGCACTGAGTTCACCTCTGCACCAGATACAATTTCATTTAATCTCCTTAAGCCCAGTGGGACATGGGTTTCAAAACGCATTTGCTGTAGGACAAGTTGATGGCTTTGTGCCAATACACATTCCCTCAGTGACAAGCAGAGGCTTGGACATCAGTCCTGACCACATCACTCCCACCAAGGAGTAAAGAAACCCGAAATTCACCTACAGAACATGTTTACAAGACTCATTAGGTTTAATACCACTACACTCGCAAAAACACACATGTACGTTAATGCAGGCAATGGTTGCAATGAACACCAGCTATTCCCACATCCCTGTTTAGCAGTCCTACTAAATTGGTCTCACAAGTTTATTTTTTCTGCCACTGTCTCATACCGCAGGCCGCTGAGACCCTCATACACACATTCACCTATCATCCCCACCCTTACCTGACTCCACTGGCTTCCCATCACACAGAGGATACAGTTCAAGATCCTGGTCCTCACTTTCAAAGCCCTCCATGGCCTTGCTCCCCCTTATCTCTGCGACTTCCTAACACCCTATCAACTTGCCCACTCCCTCAGCTCAGCGGGCTCTAGCCTGCTTCACGTCCTCGCCTCACCCGCCCCACCATTGGCAGGCGGCCTTTCAGCCACTGTGCCCTAGCCCTCTACCCCACAGTCCCTCCGCCTCGCCCGGTTCCTTGCCTCCTTCAAGACCCTACTCTTCAATCGTCCTTCAGTTGCCTTCCTTCCCTCCCTGCCCCCCACCCTCCCCGATCCTCAGCTCGGGTCTATAACACTGATTGTCCAGCGCCTTTGGATGTCCTCCTGACGTGAAAGGCGCTATACAAATGTAATTTTTTNGTTGTTGATGATATTTGCCATACAGCTGGAAGCCATCACGCAAGTTTTTCACCATAGCCCCTTGAGTAGGAACACATTGTGGGCAAAGCCACCTGGATAGATTCCTGGATGACCGTTTGTTAATTTCCCCCCCTAATATAATTATGGTGCTGAAATGCACACGATTGCTTTAAATTGGTTTGCTCCCTCATTCCCTTCCCTGCAACCCACATCCATTTTTGTGTCCAATGGACAATGCCCATTTAATACGCTACAAAACAGCAATGTTGGTTCCAGAGATGGAATAAGATGCCTGAGCCACACTTTCTCTTCTCACTGCACTAGTTGGGGTCTGACCAACTCAGATCTCGGACGCAGCCTAACTCTGAAATAGCTGACCAACTGAGCAGCTCTTTGACATTAAAAAAAAGGTTTATGAGTTTAAATAAATATCCGACCGACCCCTACCCTCCCTCCACCCCTCATGATCTCAACCAGCTCGGGTCCAAATCCTTGACTGTCCAGGGCCTTGGGACATCCTCCCGACGTGAAAGACGTTGTACAAATGTAATTTGTTGTTGTTGTTAAATGGGATCACAGCTGACACCCACTTGTATCTGCTGTGTTTATACTACAGCGATGCAAATGAAAGGGCTGCAAAACATCTGTTCAAGGTAAACACTTGTTCAGCAGCACAGCTCCAATGCCATTGCTTTCACACTGAACTGCTCCATCCTAATTTACGTCTCAAAATGTTTCACAGGAAGAGGAATATTGAAGAGCGAGCAGGAAAGTGGAATTAGGTTGGGTGGCTGCTGTGGAGAAAATCACCATGGGCTTCTGTCCTCTAATATTCTGAAATTGTCTGCATTCACCTGGTGAAGACCCTCCTTTCCTGGATGGCTAAGCCCAGGAAATCAGGTCAGGAACTAGACAGAAGCCACTGCTAGCAGAATGGTCTGTGCAGGCTCTTTAAATATCAGATTACACCGATTTAGGGAGAGGCAAATGTTTGATTCAACAGATACATCTGCAGAAGTAGCTGTTAGGAGGATCAACGTAAAGATGAATAAGAAACCGGACTGGGATAAAATGTGTTCAATACAGTAAGCACTGCACATGCACAAACCACGGTAATCAACAGTTTTATCAATGTCAAAACACTGCAACAGATTGTACAATCCTTTGACAAAGTGAAGATGTAACCTGCACTTCTCTATGCTGACCTGCCACTCAGCTTAGTATTCGATTTATTCTAATTCGATAATTTCAACTGCAATGAACTCAGGTACCTAACATCAGCTTCTTTCAGTATGTAATTCTAACAAGGGATCTGACTCAAAGGTCTCATCTTCCCAAAACCGAGAGCATTTAGTTTAAGTCTGCAATTATAAGTTCCATTCTTTTTTTACAAATTCAATCTTGGAACATTCTGCATTCAAACGTTCACACATGTGTTGCCATTAGGTACTCGAAATACAAGAGTAATCACTGGGTAGTACTCACAGGCTCGGCCTTAAAATTAAATCAAGCACAACACACACAGCGGATTGCATAGCCAGGTCACACCATGCAAGATGCAGTAAATACTTTCCAAACAAAAAGCTAATTAGAGGTCAGCCCCTTGCTTACCTGATCTGTAAAACGACTCCTTTCTATCGCTATCTATGGCAGTAGATTGTTTTTAACAATAATGTTGTATGAACTGTTTGCTGTTCAATAAATACATAATCATAATACAATGTTAAACCCATATATATTGTTAAAACCTGAATACAACTCATAATGAGACACCCTAACCTCTGAATATCTAAATTGATTACACTGCTCCTGGCATTTTTATTTTACAGATGAAAATGTTAATTTCTAAAATATGACGAACACTGTTTCAGCGTAGCCGACATCAGACCCAGATGGTCACAATATGCGTTACGTGTAATGAAGTTGAGGCCAGCCAACAAGGGATATGGCAAGTTAAAATGGTTTGTTAAGTTGAACCTTTGGGAAATAAGATCGCAAAGAAGCAATGTTTATGATGCCGACATGTTAATACGAGTAGGAAGACAAAGCAAGCAGCCATGCCTGGTGCTGATCAGAATACTGCTATGGACCAATTAAAGAAAAGCTCCACACAACACTGGGATTAATTTATTCAAACTCCTTACTAATAGCGATTGGATTCCAAGCCAACACAGCGATTAGATGTCAGAGGCCATATGACAAAGTAACACATCCAATTCTTTTTCAAAAAGGATTTGTTATAGGTTTCCTTTCAGCACTATTTGAACATGTCTCTAGATATGGGGTTACTTGTATGTTGGCACGTTATCACAAGTAGTACAGCGGACGAATTGTGCAATGAGCTGCAGTTTCCACACATGACTTTCAGGAGTGTGCAGGTACGCAGGCCCGTTCATAGAGGCTTGAAGCAATGACAAACTATCAAGACCAAAAGGTGGAGGACCCCCTAGCTTCAGATCAGTCAGAATTGAGGCAATTCTTCGGAGTTGGACAGTGGATAGTCTTTTCAATGTACAGTTCTTCTCCGTTTACGGACTGAAGGGATCTTGATTGAAGCCATTCAAAACAGCTCATGGATTTCCCATCTGATTCTCACTCTGGATTTTCACTGAGAATTCCTCATCGCCTCCCCACCGGGTTATCAGGATGTTCTCACCACTGTGTTCTCAGTTCACATTAAGTCTCCAGCTTGCATACTGGGAAGATCTGCAGCGGGCAACTTTGTGATTCGGAATCCTCCTCTCCACAAGCCCTCTACTTATTCTTCTTCCCCCACATCCAGTCCCTGACCAGCACCACTTTCTTCCACCTCCGCCACATTGCCCGTATCCGACAATATCCCACCCAAAATGTTGTCGAAACCCTTGTCCATGACTTTGTCACCTCTCGGCTGGACTACTCTAACGCCTTCCTCGTTGGTCTTCCCTCCTCCACTATTCACAAAATTCAGCTCATTCGAAACTCCGCCACCCACATTCTCACCCGCACCAAACTTCGTACCCCGATTACTCCAGCCCTTGCCAAACTCCACTGGCTCCCTGTCACAGAGCGGATCGATTTCAAAATCCTACTCTTAAGAGTTTAAATCCCTCCATTCCTTGGCACCCCCCTATCTCTCTAACCTCGTCACTCCCCACAGTAGTACCCGCTGCCTCCGCTCTATTGGGTCCTGTCTCCACCGTGTCCCCCAATTCCTCCGCTCCATCATCGGCGGCCGGGCCTTCAGTTACTGCGCCCCAAAACTTTGGAACTCTCTCCCTCAATCCCTTTGCCTCGCTGTTCCTTCCCCAACTTCAGGTCATGGCTGGGGTCATTCCTCTTCGACCGCGCCGACGGTCACCTTCTCCCTCCCACTGGCTTGGCCTTGGGCACCGGCATTGTTAAGCGCTCTGAGATTCTGCCTGGCATGGAGGGCGCTATATAAATGCAAGTTGTTGTTGTTGTCAGCATTTGATGCTGTGTGCACTTTTCTCAAATACTTATAATGCAGGGCAAATTGGTTTCTAGAGTTGCACCACCAGTTGTTTTTAATTGATCAGTAAAAATATCGTACAAAACATCTAGAACAACAACAACAACAACAACAAGATTCCATTTATAAAGCGCCTTTCACGTCAGGAGGACGTCCCAAGGCGCTGCACAGTTGGGTCATGACCCGAGCAGGGGGGAAATGGTCAGGGTGAGGGAAGGGAGGGAGCGAGGAGGGGGAAATGGTCAGGGTGAGGGGAGGGAAGGAGGAGCGAGGAGGGGGAAGAGAGTCGAGAGGGGAGCTGAAGGCACGGTCAAAGAGAAAGGTTTTGAGACCGGCCTTGGAGGAGGAAAGGGAGGAAGCAAGGCGAAGGCACTGGGGGATGGAGTTCCCGAGCCTTGGGGCTGAGAGGCTGAAGGCCCGACCAACGATGGTAGGGCGGTTGGGGCGGGAGGACGTGGAGCAGACCAGAGCCAGAGGAACGGAGGGTACGGGCAGGTAGGTAGGGGGATATCTAGAAGATATGTTGTGTAATATTTGATGATACGGAGGAGACTGGTCTTCACGCTTGAGTGGTCAAAATACATGTTCTTACCTCATACACTAAAGCTGATGATATAAACCGCTTCATCTCACTAAGCAATTACATCGCAAGATTTTGTATCAGGACATTGCAAGAAAAATCCCTCTGATGTCCCACTTATCAAACCAGGATACGACTTCCCACCTCTACTGTTAATTGACTGGGCTACAGGGAAGGTGAAGTGAAAAAGGGCTCTTATCCTCATTGGCCTAAGAGGTGACTCCTGCATTTCTGGATGACATCCATTAACTTTCCATGTACACTCCCAGAAGACTGGATGCACTCTCTCAAGCACAGATCTTCAAACCAGGCCCAAGAAATGTGATTGCAGTCATCAGTACAATTACTTAATGTTCTTCAAATAAAGACAGGAGATGTAAAACTGGAAGAGATTCCTCCAGTGATCGAATGACCTACTTGCTGTACATTGCTATAGTTCTGTCGTCTCATCTTCAACCCATCTTCAGACATCCCATCAGAACCTGGGTCCACACATCCATGGCATCAACTTTTCTTAAACATTTAATGGTACTGCACTTGTCTGTGATGAAAAGCATCAATAAACCAATCCTTCAGCTTGAGCCTCAGCTTGTCAGTGCCCAAACAAGTCCCATTTATGTGACAATAGAGTTTACCCAGGTTTCCAAAGACCTGATCCAGAGCAGGAAGCATTTCTCACTGTAGTAACTGCTTTATCTGAAGGACCTTTTTCAGCTTTCTTTAATTCCTCCAAATAAACTATTTCCTTTATCTTCAGAGATCTGCCAGTCACCCACAGTGCGGTAAGATTCTCACATTGTGAGGGATTCTCTTAGGAACCTATCATACCACATTTTTCCTGAGTTGGATTTTCCCCCTACATCAAAGGAATTTCCTGCAACAATCACTTGCATCAATTTGCTTCCATATTTCAGAATATAGGGCAAGACATGTGGGACACAGAGCACTCAATGAGCAGAAATCAATCTCTCTGTAACTATGCAAAAGTGCATTTTCAGCACAATATCCACACATACACACACAGTGTTTGTTTTTACAGTACTATACTGTACCTACATCAACTGTCTAGAGCAGACATTTCAGGAAGAATGGACTGTTAATTCTTGTTATGGCATTATAGATAATTAATAGCCTGGCATAAATTCTGATTAATTTCTGACAAGGAGGCGGTTAAGCCCTTTAGCCATTGTTCCATCCTTCTCAAAGTTTTATTTTTCCCCTCAAAGGCTTGAAACTATTCACTCAAATTGTGTAGCAGTAAAGACACTCGCTTCATTTTGTCATTTACCCTGAATGACTTTGGTTTAGATACAGCATTTACTGTAGAGGGTGGAGAGAAACCAATTCATACTTTATTCTAGTATATATACATAGTGTTATTGAGGGCCAGAGTGCAGGCAGGGAATGATTCATGAAGTGGATTAAAAAAATTGTTTGCCCAATTAATGTGACTGTGTATTTAAGTGAATGTGGCAGCCAATTTGCGGACACAAATGTGCCACAAACAGCCCGGAGATGAATGGACAACATAGTGTTGAAAGATTGTTGGCGAGGACACCAGGAGATATCATTCTTTCAAATAGTGTCAAAGATTTTTTCATTTTTACTTAAACAACAGATGGGATTGGATTCAAGTCTCATCTGAAAGACAGCGCCTCTGGCATTGCTCTGCCAACACTGCAATGGGGTGTTAGCTCAGACTGGGAGCTCACAATCTCTAACATGGGGCTTGAACCCACAAATCTGACCCAGAAGTGAGATTCCTACCAACTAAGCCAGGCATTGTTTGACAGCAGTTCAATGAAAACAGAAATTAATTAGCATCATCAGACAAACACATTGATTGATTTGAGCTGAGGTATGACATTCCCCATTGATAAATAATTTGTGTTTAAACTTGGTGCCCATTTGCTAGATAAATCAGAGGGCTACAGGCACTTTGGCACTCCCCCATGTGTCAATGGCTTCAAGAAAGCCGTAAAGTCATTAAAAAAGAAACAGTTGTAGCCAGTCCAAACCATACAGTGACATATATCCTGCGTTGGGAGAAAATAGTCCTAATGACATGCAGCAGGTTAAGTGGAAACATAAAGTGACTACTGCTGCCCCAGTACAACTCGTATACCGATCATCAGAATATCTATCGATCTGATGGGTTGGGATGGAATGAAGTGGAGGGCACCCAATTTTCTCAGTTACCAAACCACACACAGAGAAAGGAGTGAAGGAAAAAGGTGAAGAATTTACTTCTCATCCATGTGGCTGCGCATCTTCTTCAGCTTTTGCATGATGCTGCTCGTCTCGCTGCCAGAGGCAGACACCGGGGAGGGGCTTCGGCTCTCCATATCCGTCTGGAAGGGGCTGGAAGTGGGACTGCGCTTGGAAATGCTGTCCTCCTCCATCGGCTCTGTGCTCCGCAATTCCTAAAATAAGTAAAACAAGCAAGTGAGAAAGAAATTGGGAAAAGGATGCAACCTGAGGAGTAAATGGAAAGAGTTACTATGGAGTTCTTTGGCATAAAGACACAGGTGGTATTTGTTGAAAAACTAAAGAGCGCAACATCAAACTGCCCACAAGTGAGACTAAAATAGGGACTAATTTGCAAGATTTACAAAAGGATTTATAAATACTGAATCAAAAGATGTGTGACACTCAATCATCTGAAACACAGATCTCAGATTTTACTTCTATCAACTTGGTGACCAGCAGAGTAGCAGGAGTCACTGCTCATTATTACTTTGGAAAATAATAATAATAATAATAATAATAATCCTTGCATTTGATATAATAATCCTTGCATTTGATATAGCGCTTTTCACGTCGGGAGGACGTCCCAAAGCGCTTCACAGAATAGACTGTAAAGTGAATTGACTGTATATTTGTGGGCGAACGCGGCAGCCAATTGCGCACAGCAATGTCCCACAAACAGTCGTAGATTGAAAATGACCAATTTTATTATTGTTTTTGGTTTTGGAGGGATTATTATTAGGCGTGTGGAGTAAGGAAACTTGCCCAAGGTTTCGCCCTGCCTGGAATTGAACTCAGGTCTCTCACTTGCAAAGCGAGTGCTCTAACCACTGAGCTACAGGACTCCAAAGCGCTTTTCACGTAATTTAGACCAAAACTGTGCTGGGAATCAAGAGTGCACAATCAAACTGCTCTTTAATGGCTATCAATGTCTTTCTTCGCATGTCATATTCACCCTCTCCTCGCCTAAGAAGGAAAAGCCTTGTATGAGTGGGGTAAGCTCAATCGTTGCTCGCCCACACTGTGCACACACAGCATGGACATCACTGGAGGTCAGTGCCAAAATACCCTTTATAACAAAGTATGCTTATTGGGACAATAATAAAACTAAAGGTTAGCCTCTGCAGAGCAGCATGGGTACCTGTTGAAGGACATTGATTGGAATGGCACAAGCCTGAAGTCTCAGTGCACTTTCCTCGCCAAATACTAACTTTTTGTATCTTCATTTGAATGTGACAATAATAATCCTTGCATTTGCTATAGCGCATTATCACATTGTTCAGCTGTCTCAAAATGCTTCACAGAATATACTGTAAAGTGAATTGACTATGTATTTTGTGGGCGAAACTCTGAGGCTAATTGTCGTGGATTGCGTAACCAAATTATTATTTTCTATATATATATATATGTAGTTATTTATTGTTTTTGAAGGGATTATAACCCCAGAAAGGGATCCGCCAATTGACTAACAACCAGGTTCCTACTTACTGCTAAATAAACAGAGGCGTGTGGAGGAAGGAAACTTGCCTAAGGGTTTTGCCCTGGCCGGAAATTGAATCCTGGTCCTCTCACTTGCAAGGCAAGCGAGCTAACCACCACCCGCTTCACTGAGCATAAGGTATTTTATGCTTAGCTTCTATTGCACTCACAAATAAGACCTTCCCTATTGTGCTCCTGGCATTGCAGTTTCTTATAACAGAATAAACGTTTTGTATAGAGAATTAGTTTTTTTTAAATATAGGTAGGCGCAGTACTGACCAACTTGCCCTCTCCAGCTGACTTGAGTTTCTCCTGTAATTTGATGGTGGTTTGGCGCATCCGCTGGATCTCCTCCTGCTGTTTCAGGATCAGCTGCCTCTCCTTGCGAGCTGCTTTGTTGGCTTCCTGCAGCCGTTTGATTTCAGCCTATCAGGGAGTCGGGACAATGAGAGGGAAACATGTAATGGCTAAACAAACATTTCCAAGCCAATAGTATTGAAAGGCTGAGAGAAATCAGGACAGTGTTAGGAACAAGAAGAGTAAGACGCTGGTCAAGAGGCACTTGACATCAACTATCTGGAGTAAAATGAGCCCGCCCAGCCGCTCAGGTGCAGTGGGAAAACCCATCCTGATCTCAGTACTAAAATCATGTTCAGTTCAGCACAAAACCTATAAACAATATTGCATGGCAAACAAGGAAACGCTGTGCAGATCCCCCCACCCCCCCGACAACAGAAAAGATTTCCCAACTGTAAATTCTATCCCCGCTTTCCTTTACCCACGATCTAGACAGCACTCTCAGTAACTCCTCAAAATCACAGGAATGACCCACAAACAGTTATCGATTGAGGGACCAAATTCTTCTTAATTTTTTGACGGGATTATTACCACCAGAAAGCAATCTGCCAATCAACTAACAAACGGGTTCCTACTTACTGCTAAGTAAACAGTGCCGTGTGGAGTAAGGAAACTTGCCTCAAGTTTCGTCCGGCCTGGGAATCGAACCTGGGTCCTCTCGCTTGTCAGTCGAGTCCTCTAACCAATACGCTACAGGATTCTACTTGGTGCCAGCCCTAGAACTCTCTTCTTTCACTCTCTTGGTTTATCTTGTTTTGAGTTTACTGAACTAGCTTTGCCATAAGCAGTGGTCAATGGGAAGCTGATACGTCTACTTCATTAACATTAGTTTCACCTTCTGTATTTATTACCTGTTCTTGTTGCAGCCGGAGCAACAGCCCCCGTTGCCTCTTGCGAATGGGTGGCATCTTGTCATCTTCTCCCTTGTCTCGCAGTCTCCTAGGTGAAACAGTAACACGGTTCAATAAAAAATGCACCCTTTTTAAACACACAAACAGGATTTGTAAGGAGATGATGGAGCATTTCGCAGTTTTGGAAAGTAGACGGATTAGAACTTCTAGGAGGCAGCACATATTGTGTAGGGTGCATTTCGCCACCCTATCTGATTCGCAACAATTTAAAAGGCAGAATGATCCCGGCTTGGGACTGCATGTTTTTTCTTTCCTGAAAGGAAGGATAGTGCTGAGATTTCCAGGTTTGTTTCTGTACGACAAAGTTACACAGAACTTGCTGTGAATGCAATCTTGGGCAGTTCTTGTGAGAGAAAAGGCCGAATCTTTAAAATGACCGATCGGAGCTAAGATTGCCAAACTTCAGCCTCAGCCACACAGATCGCAAGTTTCAAATCCTGTTTCTCTTAATAATAATCCTTGCATTTGATTTAGCACCTCATCACGTCTTTGAGACGTCTCTGTAAAGAATGTACTGTAAAATGAATTGACTGTATATTTTGTGAGCGAAATGCAGCCAATTGCGCACAGCAGTGTCCCACTAACAGTCGTAGACTGAGTGACCAAATTATCATAATTTTTTTAACAGATATTTTTAAGAGATTAGTACCCTCCAGAAAAGCGATCCGCAAATCGAATAGCAACCGGATTCCTACTCACTATTAGGTAAACAGAGGTGTGTGGATTAAGGAAATTTGCCTAAGGTTTCGCCCTGCATCGAACCAGGATCCTTTTGCTTGCGAGGCAAGACCTCTAACCAATACTGGCCTCCACATGAATTCCCACTCAGCTAGCAAATTCCAATTCAAAATACCACTGTAGAATCCTTTTCCCCACCCCCTTTCTGCACTCGCAATGTACTTAGTTAATACAGCACATACAGCATAACTCTCCAGATCAAGATGCAGTAAAGCTCTCTCGAAGTACAAGCTGCTTTGCCTGTAAACCACCTCACAGTACAATTGCCTCTTTAGTTTAAGAGATTTGACTGAAGTTCATTAAGTTTTGTCACATGTTTGAAAGTTCAGGGAACTGAGAGAAAGAGATTCCAAAAACAAAATTATCCCTTCAATTCAAGAGATTCTTGGGATCAGAGAAATATTGTTTTGTAACTAACTTTATAACCCATGTGGAACATATTGGGAGAAAATAGCAAGTAGTAAATTTAATCAGATAAAATACTTATTGGTGACAAAATGGATGTTTTTTTAAAAAAAAGTGAATTAAACATAAAGGAAATAATCAATTGCAATAATCCTTACATTTAATATAGCGCCTTATCACATCAAGATGTCTCAAAGCATTTTGTGGAATTTACTCTATGGTGTAGTGATTGTACTTGTAGGCTAATGCAACACACAGCAATGTCCCACACACAGCCATGAAGTGAGTAACCATTTTGTCTGGGGGATACTTGGCCAGGACACCAGGAGAAACTGCCTCCTTTCAAATAGTGCTGTGAGATTTTTGGTGTTCATCAAAAACATGCAGATAAGACCTTGGTTCATCATCTCTATGCATCTTTCACAATGTAGCTCACCCCCAGCACTGCACTGAAGTGTCAGTCTAGACTGAGTTCAACGTCCCAAAGCAGAGCTGGAACCGACAACCTTCTGACTCAAAGAAAATTGTAAGGCTTGAGTCCATAAGAGACTTCGGCAAATGCAATTGAATCGCAGACGATTTGCCAAGAAAAAAGATTGTATCCATTAGCATCTATACTAATCCTTGCATTTGATATAGCGCTTTATAATGTCGTTGAGAAATCTCAAAGCGCTTCACAGGATATACTGTAAAGTGAAGATTGACTGTATATTTTGCGGGAGAAACGTGACAGCCAGTTGCAACTGCAATGTCCCACAAACAGACATGGAGTGAGTGACCAATTTTATTTGGGGGATTGTTGGCCAGGTCACCGGGAGAGAGAAACTCTCTTCTCAAATTGTGCTATGCGATCTTTTGCATCCACCTGAATAGGCAGATGGGACCTCGGTGTAACATCTAAGCTGAAGGATAGCACCATCGAAAATGCAAACCACCCCCGGCATCGCGTTGAAGAGTCGTCATAGACTATGTGATTCCAAGTCCTGAACACACAACCTTCTGACTCAGAGGTGAGAGGGATACAGCTGAGCCAAGCTGACACACATTTATTATAACTAGACTGTGCAGAATGCGACATTTTACAGAAACTTTGCACCTTTTAACATCAACATTCCTTGTTGACCCACAACATGGTCACACCAAGCAGCCACTCACTTTCTCTGGTGTTCCAGCCAAGCCAGCTCTGCTTTGGTCTTCTCCTTCAGGGCTTTTTCTCTCAGCTTGAGGAGCGAGACCTGGTGTTGAGCACGCATCTCCTCCTCTTTCATGTACTGTCTGACCATCTCCATGGTGAACTTGGAGAAACTGTCCTGTCCCCCAGAGAAGGGCATACTCAGCTCATGCTATGGGGTTGGGGGGAGAAGGAAGAAACAATGAAATGAGCAGATTGCAATTAAAAAACATTAAAATTTTCTGCACAGAAGGGGGTCATTCAGCCCATCATGGGTGCCACTAGCCATTTTCCTCTATTATTATTCCCACTTTCTTCATATCCCTTAAAGTGCTCAGGCACTTATCCTGTTCGATTCTATTGACATAGCTGCAATAACCACTTTGTGGTAATGAATGCCAAATTCTGAGTGAATAATTTCCTTTTATCCTCTCCCTTGATATGTTTATTAACCATGTGGAGATTATGTTTATGTAAGCATCATGGTACTGTAAAGGTTTTTTTAAAAAATTCAAGCATTTTCACATATATGGTTGTGAAAAACTATGCCTTAGAGGGCTTTCTGATCAAGTTTCTGAGGACGACCTAGGATTAGTAACCTGGGATTTATTACACTTCTGTTAATGTTCTGGATATTACTAAGCTGTTTTGAGAATTTACTATTATTCCTTTTTGTGCATAAAATTTGTTTAATCTCTGCACCGTTCACAAGTGCTCAGGTTCAGTTGACTTAACAGTCTTCACCACACATGCACGCAAGTCTGTCCAACTCACTTTGACAGCTGTTAAGGTTGACTTGTCTCGAGTGGCGTCCTCGTCTGAATCAACCTGCCGGCTACGCTTCCTCTCCATGTTAAACCGTCGATGACTCTCGGATGGGAGCAGGGAGCGGAACGACTTCTCCTCAATCTCATCTTCAGTCATCGACTCGTCAAACTTCAGTGAATACTCAGTAGCAACAGAAACGGAGTCTGGGGAAGAGGATTGGACTAAGCAACAACAACAAAAAGCCTCAAGCCAAAGGCAACAGTTTGTAATGAAAGAAATGAATGCAGGGAGCAATTACTGACAAGAAAACTTGGAGGGTCCATGAAATAAATTTAAGTAATCCCAATTTAACTGCACTAAACAATTAATACACAGAATCCGATACTAAACTAGCGCAGTAATGTATCGGTTGTGAAGTGATAACACCACTTTTTGAGGTTAGAATCAAGGAACATTGCTGATCTCAACCACTCTCTTTACAAGCTGTACCAGCTTTTGATTCACCCATGTGTAAAGACAGACTTCCAGGAGCTTGTTCTAAGCCTGCCCTTTGCATTCCGTGAACCTGTCCCCTCCAGTCATGCTGCCTTAGTGTATCTGAAAGTACTGATTAGGTTCATTTGATAGTTTTGCCTTAAGCATCTGCATCGTGATGTTGGTACCTCAAGTGTTCTCTTTCAAATCACTGTTTCTTTGAACATTGCAGTTACAGTAAAACTCACATAAGTTGAAACAGCTGGGACCCATAATATTTAATATATGACTTATGCAAAGTATCAGTTATGGCAAACTTGCATAAGTCATACCATATATACCTGATGTAAAATTGTAAGTTGGATTTTATATGATTAATACATAACAAATACGCATCCTCACCTGTACTAAATTCCGCACTCTATCACCCCAGCCCTTCCCAGGCTCCACTGGCAGAATGGATCGATTTCAAATCCTTACACCTCTTCGACCTACTTACCCTCCACTCCACCCCCTTCACTCAGCCGACTCCAGCTTCCTGCATGTCCCTCGTCCCCTGAACCATCTCAAATGTTGAAGTGTTCTGATTGACAATCTTACCTTTGTCATCAGGTACTGAGGGCACACTGCCACTCTGGATTGAGTCATCAGCTGCTGTGTGCACCTCCTCTTCAACAGAACTATCTCCCTTCTCCTCCTGACGGGAAGCCCTCCTCTCTGACCCTCTATCTGAGGGTAAAGAGGGGCTGTCTTGCCTGCTGCTGCCACTGCTGTAGAAAACAGAGAAATCATTGTGAGATCATTGTGTAGGCTTTAAGCACACTATGCTGCTATACCAGACTGAAACCTTCCGCAGTAAAATCAACTAGTGTTTAGCTGTTCAATGTCTGCCTGTTCAGGTGGACGTTAAATATCCCATGATACTATTGGAAAAGAAACTGAAGTCTAAGCCAAGAATAGTTTGGATTAATTAGCCATTCTATGTGCAGAATGATTGCTACGTTTGTCTACAAAAACAGTCACTACACTGGGCAATTACAATAAAGGTGTTTGAAGCCTTTCTATTATGCTACAAAATGCTAGAATTGAAAATAATAATTAATTGAAAAACGGCTGATCGCAGCAGTGAACTCCAGTAGTTTAGCCATTTCTCCACCATCACAGGTGGAGCTCAGTCACGTTATGTGTAACTGTTTGACGTACCTGCGATTGTGATGTTTGGATCTGGATGACTCGGACAGGCTGTCAATGGAAGCGGAGTACTGGACTTTAGATTCCAGTAATTTGTCCCCAAACGGTGGGCTACTGTCATTCCTTCTGTTAAAAGAAGTGTCACATTCATTCCAGTGCAGACCGCAAGGATTATAAGGCGCTAATCAAATGCAAGGATCATCATTATTTCAATCAGACTGACAGCAGGACGTTTACCTGTCAGGTTCAGTCCTGGCTCGCAGCTGCTTCATGAACTCGGAGTTCTGGAGTCTCTGCTGGTCCAACAGTGCGGTCACAGGCGCAGCAGCAGCTACACGCAAGGAAGCGGTGGCCATAGCGCCCGCTCCCGCTCCCATCTGTGCACAAGCTAACTCTGTCATCTAAGTGGAAGCAAGAATTTGCATCAGCATTTCATATGGGGATCTGGAACTTTACTGTAAACTCCTTCATGGATGATATTGTGAAGTCCTGTAGCTCAGTGGTTAAAGCACTCGCCTCGCAAGCGAGAGGACCTGGGTTTGATTCCCAGGCGGGGCGAAACATTGGGCAAGTTTCCTTGCTCCACACGCCTCCGTTTACCTAGCAGTAAGTAGGAACCCAATTGTTAGTCAATTGGCGGATTGCTTTTCCGGGGGTAATAATCCCTTCAAATGAATGAATATTCTTTTAAATAATAATTTGGTCACTCAATCCACAGTTGTTTGTCAGACACTGCTGTGCGCAATTGGCTGCCACTTTTCACCCACAAAATACAGTCAATTCACTTTATAGTATATTCTGTAAAGTACTTTGAGACATCTTGAAGAGATGGTAAGGCGCTATATCAAAGGCAAGGATTATTAATAGAGCATTAAATACAGAAGTCGGGCCCTGGAATAATCAAATCTTGTTCAGGGCAATTGGAGTGAGGTTCTTGTAACTTGAATCACTGAAAGCTCGCCCATTAATGCTGAAGCAGCTCAGGCAGAGGACATTAAGCAGGCGGAGAGAGCGCCAGGAGATTGCAGAGGTAGGCTGGGGTGAGGCTATGGAAGTATTTGAACTGGCTTGAGATGGAGTGTGCACTCCTGCAGAACGCTGAAGTCAATGCCTCAGGTGAGACGGAGTTGATGGGAGCCAAGTAGGAGAGTTTTTCTGGTGTTCAGCTGGAGAAAGGGTTTAATGTCTGACAGATCGTGGAATCAAAGGTGAAAGCAATCTATATAAAAATGAACCTGTTTTTTCTCTGCTGATTGATTTACGACGTAATGCAAACTGTTTATATCTCCGATTGCAAACATCTGCTCCTACTTAAAGGGAAGTCTATGATGGCCATTACCTATAGGGTTTATTGCATCACCACTGGCAATGCCCAAGCATTTGTCCCTACCGATCATTCTACCTGCAGTGAATTGGCAGGCACGGTCGTATGTCTTACTGAGACGTGCGGCTGTTTTAGCAGAAGCTCAGCAGAATCAGGAGAAAATTAGATGATTTTCCATGAATAGTCCAGCACCTTTGAGCTGCTTTAAGCAGGTCAAGGTGAATAGGCTCCTTATCAGCGAAAAAATCTGGCTTTCCACATACCTCTTTGATCTGATGAGCAGCATCTGCAGTCAGTCTGACAGCTTCTGTCTGTTGAGTCATCATCTTATTCGTGGACTCGTGCAGCATCTCCTGCCGCGTCTGGGCAAAATGCTGCAGACTTTCCACATGTGCCTGAGTGCAGAAAACAGGGTATGTAGCCACTGCCAGTTTCACCAACGCCAGAAAAACACTTCCGATTTAGACTGAGGACATGAACTGCACTATCAAATCATGATCTGCAATTCACTTATTTGAGTTCCACAATGGTTAGCGTGCTCCCTCGCAAGTGAGAGGACACATGTTCAATTCCCGGACTGGGTGAAACCTTAGGCAAGTTTCCCTATTCCACATGCTTCTGTTTAAGTATCAGTAAGTAGGAACCCGGTTATTAGTCGATTGGCGGATCGCTCGTTACTAAAGGCACATCATTTCAACCAAACGTTTGGTCGATATAGTTCCTTCTCATATTCGTTACTCAGACACATATTCTCCATGCAAGTTGCTACATTGAGTGAAAGTAGTTGCCAATCATGTTTCGTTAATACACTAACTTCTCAAGTATCTGTCTTTTTGAACATCCCAATTGATTGTGCGTCTAATTCCTTCTGAGAGATTATATTTCACATTTTCACAATGTAGAGATCCATAGTCAACCCGTGTGTAATGTGAATTTCACCATTAGGTTTACTGTTTACATTTAGTTTACAAATCTCTCCTCTCCACGTGCCCACTCGCACCCACACTATATTAATAATCCTTGCATTTGATTTAGCTACTTATCAAATCTTGAGATGTCTCAAAGCTAAGTATTATCACTAATTATTATATTATAGTATTATAATAATTACTATAATTATTAGCACTAACCAGTTCCAGCCAGTCAGCACTTATTTTGTCCTATTGGACAAGTGGTTCTTCTAACTGGACAGTAATTAGAGCTTTGCCAGTCCACATTTCTGAATGAATCCAGCTGTATTCCTGGCTAACTTCCTACAGCTCAGGCAGACTTGCAAGTAGAAGATTGGCATTAAGAGAAATTTATGCACAGGTATCCAGAAATAATTCAACCTCGATACACAATGGATTTAGCCTGAAATCCCTCAGACATTACAAGCTGTCATTTACCCAGCAGAGACTGGGTACAAGCAAACTAAATCTAAACATCACTCAGGCATGTGTCAGAAGCTGGCATACCTGTGCAGCTTTATGCCTGCTCTCCTCCAGATGTCTCTGAGTTGCCAGAAGTTCCTGTTCAGCGTTCAGCTTTAACACAGCGAGTTCGTGCTTGTGTCTCTGTTGCTGAGCCTGAGGAACACAGAGAAGTGAATTCAACAGCAATGGGGATTCCACATTATAGTCATAATGCACGTGTTGAAATTGGACTCAAAATGCTAATGAGGGCACGTTTGTATCATTGGAAAACAAAGCCCCAAAATGTGGTACAGTAGAGCTCAGTTATAACAGTGCCTGAGATCTATAAACTCACAAACTATACAGGTGTGATCACTGGTCAGTGCTTCTACATCGCTATGCATTGGCCAAATCTATAGGAAGTGACGTTGACTTGCAACCTGATGACCCAGAAGTCAAAGGTGCCCAGATTTGAGGGACACTGAAATCCATTATATTGCTCTAGCTGCCATCTTAGCAGAGACCATCAAATGCAGTACAGATTAGGGATTTATTTGGAGTTTGAGGTCTGTTTGAGTTAGTCAGTAACACATCAGTACCGCACCAGGGCATTTAACCAGTAAGTTATTGAGGAGGTCAATGACAAGTGATGCGGTTTTAGCTGGTTAAACACCAGCAGTTACCCCAACGCACACTCTGGGGTCCCCAAGCCTTGGCTCTTGCCAACTTGTGCCTAATACTTTCCGGAATTAGATAAACAGAATCCGTCCCTCCAGAAAGACAGTGCAGATTCCATTCCAACAATCTCTCTCTGGAATTTCCAGAGATAGATAGTAGGTGGGATGCATGGAGTTCTCAGTTTGGGTACTCTTAAGTATGGTGATGGGTTTCCGCATGTGTCAAGACACCCGGCTGACTCCCCCCCCAAAAAATATATTGAGTAGGTCCCTATTTGGTAACAGATTTATACAGTCAACTCGCCTACAGACAAGTTGCCAGCAATTTCAGTTCATCAGGTTTTATAAGAGCAGTGAAACAAACAGTAGCCAGTACCTTGAGGATCTGAGCTAACGATACACTCTCCTGTTGAGCCAGTGCAATCCCCCGGGTTTTCTCTATATCGGTGAGCTGTCGAACAGATTCTTCTATGGCGTCTAGGTAAGTGAGTTCCGCCGTTATACGTTGCTGCAGCGATCCTGGGGAGCAGCGCATGGCACCTGTGATAGCCAAAGTAATAAAAACACAGACACTATGACTAGCCATGCTTTATGCAATGGCCTAGGGAGGTAAGCAGAGTCTCTGTGGAGCTGAACTGGCTCCAAGGTGACATGCCTGGCAATGGAATATCAGAATCAAGCCAGCCCTCTGTGGCAGTCTCCAGTCTAGTTCCTGAGCCAGGCGGGTCCGCAGTATTCCAGGGCACTGCTGATGACAGCACAGCCAGCCTGGCTATTTGGCAAGACTTGGAAGGGCAGACCAGTTACTGAAGGAGGAGAATCCTCCCACTCAGCTCCTTTTAATCCTGCGAGCCAATACCCTACCTGTTAGGATGGTCCTAGATGGACAAGCAGTGGGAAAACTTGCCAGAAAGAAAGTAGTTATATCAAGGGAACTGGGTGTGAGTAGTTAGTATTCACAAAATGTGAAAACCAAAGTCTAAATCTCTTCACCTTATAGCAGGCAGCCCAACGTCTAATTAATATTAACTGTCATGAATTTGTTCAGTCAGCAGTGAAGTTTGGAGGCAGACTGAAGAAAGAATTGGACAGCAGTTTGGATCTCTCACACACCCTGAGAAAATGCAATGCATCTATTCCACTGTGTGAAATCCCTGTTGGTAGCTCCCTCAGAGGGCTAGTGGGTAAAAGCACCAATTGGTAGATGACACATCTTTACCTTGAAGTCTCATTGAGGAGCCAGACAAGCTAGTCAGTCACCCATCAACTATGTCATAGATTAACTGTGGCGCTGTCTGGCTTTGCTATGACTGTCCTTGCAGCCAGTTTAACTCCACTCTGTTTACATCCCACTCTTTTAGTAAAGTTTTTAACTACTTAATTGTTCCAACCTGCAGTCATAGGCACAGAGGGCCTGGCTGCTCCCACATTTGCATCTGTGAACGGAGGCCTGCAGCTTGTCGAAACAGATGAAGGCTGCAATGCAGAAGTGGTCAGCTGCCTCGTCCGGTCTCCTCCCGCTGCCTGATCATCCTGCAAAGACTTCGGGCAAACAGAGGTGACCTCTGCTGAGAGACTGAACAAGCAAATGTGGGTTAGTATGGATTGGCCTGAATACTGTCACAGTTTTAATTACCTCGATCATTTCCCCTGACAGGGTAGAACAAGTCTGGCCAGTTCCATCCCAATTCCCTGTAGACATAGGAGCACACACTGCTCATGATTCAATAACAGATGCTCTAAAAGACTACACGGAAGGTTGGTGTGGAAAATGTACGATGGAACGCTGTTGTATACAGCAGCTGCCCATTGGGAAGTCTCAACCGAATAAGTTTTTCAGAACATTTAAATGAGAAATACAGAATTTTACACAGGGTAGAAACGAATTGAAAATGGATCGTGCCAATATCATAGGATATGGACAGACTGTTTGAATTGGTCTGGCTCTTGGTCTCAGTATTGCTGCTAGTGATGCTAACATGAGGAGCAAACGTGATGGTGTTCGCATTGAGCCTCTGAACAGTGCAGCAGGTGGTACAATGGTACAGCAAAGTAGGAACAGGAGTGGGTAATTCAGCCCTCAAGCCTGTTCTGCCATTCTATTAGACCATGCCTGATCTAATGTACTTCATTGCCCTTGCCCCATCTCCCTTGATGCCCTTACCTAACAAAAATCTATTTGCCTCAGTCTTGAAAATGTGAATGGATCCAGCATCCACAGCCTTTTGGGGGATGAGTTCCAGATTTCCACAACCCTTTGTATGAAAAAGTGCTTTGTGATTTCACTGCTAAATGGTCTCATTCTAATTTGAAGATTATGCCTCTTGTTATGGTATGGCACCTTGTAAGGATAGAGCAGAGGGAAATGTAGTGCAAACTGTACAATTTCTCAGCTCAGGAAAGTGTTTGGTGCCTATACATAATTGGGGAGAAAATCTTGGTCCTTGGCACAAGCAGCATTTACCTGAGGGTAAAATCCAGCCAAATCTATTACACAGTTATACACTCAAATGTGCCATAACCTGGGCTGTGACAGTATCCACAAGATGATAATAACTGAGAATAGGATCAGCAGATTTTGGAGTTTAAGGTTGATTACACCATTTCTATGGTCTTAAACTGACATAAGATTTACCTCAACATGGAGTGAAAGGAGGCATCGTCCAGAGCCCTCTCTTTGTCCTGGATTTCTTCCAGGTCCACATCTAAGCCTTGTCCTAAACAAGATCTTTTTCCGTCTTGGGAGCATTTGTCTGAAAGGTGAGCAGGTGTCCTGCTGCTCTCATCCACAGGAGAATATCTGACACTCACAGCTTCTTCACCAACTGCAAAAAGTGAACAGAAACATAGAAACAGGAGTAGGCCATTCAGGCCCTGGAGCCTGTTCCGCCATTCTATAAGATCATGACTGATCTGTAGCTCAACCTCCAAATACCTGCACTTGTCCCATATTCCTCGAATCCCTGACCTAACAATATCTATCCACCTCAGTCTTGAAAATGTGAACGAATCCAGCATCCACAGCCTTTTGGGGGAAAGTGTTCCAGATTTCCACTACTCTTTGGGTGAAAAAATGCCTCTTGATTTCACTCCTAAATGGCCTAGCTCTATTTTTAAGATTAGGTCCTCTTGTTCTGGATTCCCCTATGAGAAGAAATAGTTTCTCTGTGTCTAGCCTATCCCTTTATTATAAAAACCTCAATCAGATTGTCGCTTCTAAACTCAAGGGAATAGAGACTAAGTTTATGCAACCTGTTCTCATAATTTAACGCTTTAAGACCTAGTATCATTCTGGTGAATAAGTGCTGCATCCTCTCCAGAGCCAATATATCCTTCCTGGGGTGCAGTGCCCAAAACTGTATGCAGTACTCCAGATAGGGTCTGACCAAGGCTGTATATAGTTGAAGCATCATTTCCTCTCCTTTATATTCCAGCCCCCTTAAGATAACATTTATTGCCAATGTGTGTGGCGTATGTATGAGTTTCTCTGCACTCTTCCACTCCACTATGCAGTTTCCTCTTTCCTTTCTTCCCCTGGCAAACAAAGCATGGATCTTCTCTCCTATCATTTCCCTGCCTCAATTCCCATCTTAATGACCCAGCCAAATCTCTATCATTGAACTCCACAAGTTGTTAGTGTTCAGAGAAATAAAGAGCTCCGCAGGTTCCTCCTCCACCGCTTGTCCTCCCACCTCAACCTTCAAGGCTGTCCTTGAGTGGTTTAGGTCATACCTCTCCCACCGTCTTCATTTTGTTTCCACAAACGGCTTTTCCTCCAGCCCCCGCACTGTCTCGTGCGGTGTCCCTCAGGGCTCTGTCCTCGGTCCCCTCTTCTTCACCCTCTATATGCTCCCCCTTGGTGACATCATCCGCATACATGGGGTTAACTTCCACATGTATGCGGATGACACCCAACTCTACCTTTCCTCAACTGCACGACCACCGATGTCCTGACAGCTGCCTGTCTGACATCGAGTCCTGGATGAGAGACAACTTTCTGCAGCTCAACGTGTGTAAAACTGAGGCCCTCCTGATTGGCTCACGTCAGCGCCTCCGCACCTCAGGCGCCGACACCATCAGCATCCAAGGCTGCACTCTCCACCTCTCAAAGCCAGTCAGGAACCTCGGCGTTCTGTTCGACCCTGAGCTGTCCTTTCTTCCTCATATCCGCGCCACAACTAGGACCGCCTTCCATCACCTCCAAAACATCGCCAGACTATGGCACTACCTCACCCCTCACGCTGCTGAAACTCTGGTCCACGCCTTTATCACCTCAAGGCTGGACTATGGGAACTCTCTCCTCGCCGGCCTTCCCGGCACCTCCCTCCACACTGCACGTCATTCAGAACTCTGCAGCTCATGTACTGTCCCACACCAGACACCGCGACCACATCACTCCCACCCTCGCTCGCCTCCACTGGCTCCCCATCCCCCAGAGGATCGAATTCAAGATCCTCATCCTCACCTACAAGGCCACTCACGGCCTCGCTCCCTCCTACCTCTCCGACTTACTATCCCCCTACTTACCTGCCCGTACCCTACGTTCCTCTGGCTCCGGTCTGCTCCACATCCCCCGCCCCAACCGCCCTACCAGCCCCCAGGCTCTGGAACTCCATCCCCCAGTGCCTTCGCCTTGCTTCCTCCCTTTCCTCCTTCAAGGCCGGTCTCAAGACATTTCTTTTCGACTGTGCCTTCAGCTCCCCTCTCGACCCTCTACCCCCTCCTCGCTTCCTCCCTTCCCTCCCCTCACCCTGACCATTTCCCCCCTGCTCGGGTCCCGACCCAATTGTCCATCGCCTTGGGACGTCCTCCCGATGTGAAAGGCGCTCTATAAATGAAATCTTGTTCTTGTTGTTCCTATATCTTCTCTCTGTAAACGTAGCCGTGACTGGAGCTGGAGATTACAACTCACCATCTAGTTTCAGTCTCCTTTTCGAGGATGCAGAGGATCGGGAGGAGGATGTGGAACGCTGTCCTGAAGAGCGTGGGGATAGTTCTCCAAGCCTGACATCGCAAGATTTCCTGCTGAGGAGTTCCTCTTGAATGCTGCTGGGGCTGCTTGCACTGCTAAGAAGTGAATATTAATTACACCATTAATCCTTTACAAGTTCAATGCCAAACTTTGTCTTAAAATATATAAAAATTTGACTTTGTTTATGTCAACTAATTTCAGATCTTCAGCCAATTAAACTGCAGTACGTGGATTGAGCCACTGGGGGACACAATAGAAACTTTTTTGCAGCATTGTGTCTGCACTGCAGAGCTCCACTTTAATCCCATTCCCCTGCTATTTCACCAGTGTACCAGGTCTGGTGTTAGTCCCCAATTGAACTCTCCACTTTAATCCACTCACTGCTTTTTTCCTTTCATGTCAAGAAAAAGGAGTTTCTCTCTCCACGGTGTCCTGACCAACAACCCCCAATTAAATGTTTGTGGGACACTGCTGTGTGCAAATTGGCTGCCATGTTTTGCCCACAAAACAGTGAATCCACTTTACAGTATATCCTGTGAAGCACTTTGAGACGGCTTGATGACATGATAAGGCGCTAAATATAACAAAGATCACTGTTTTAATAAATAACCCTTGCATTTGATAGTGTTTTCCATGCCAATACAATATCTAAAGGCGCTTTAAAGGATTCATTGCAAAGTGCAGTGACTACCTGTAGACAAACATGGCAACCAAGTTGCACTCAGCAATCTCCCACAATTAGCCACAAAGTGAATAATCAATGTTATTTGGGGAATTGTTGCCCAGGACGATTGGTCTGTTTCTCTCAAACATTTGGAAATATTTCTCTGAGGCAGTGTTGACTCAGGAACCGCTTCTTTTTTTGAATCTGTAAATTTCTATTTAAAAAGCATTAAGCATAGCAACATGTTATTTACTAGTCACTTCCTGACCTAGTTGGTTCAAGAGTCATTCATTCCAGACACTTAGTGATGATGCTGAGTTATATAAGAATCATTGCAGTACAACTTTCGCAACATTTGCCCTACTAATCAGAATGCTTCCAATTCATTCAGCAGTTTAACTGAGTACATCAAACGTTAACTCAAAGGCCACCTGATAGTTTAGGGTAAAGGTTTCAGATAAATCTACAGCTCACACTCAGTGAATGAGTCATCAGGAGAGAAATCGAAGGAAACAGAAAACACCCAGTTTATCTCAACCTATGAACACTCCTTTGAACACTCTCAAACCTACTTTGCTTCGCTTCATCTCTCCCTGCCTTCAAAACTCTCCGAAAAACAACATTTTCAACCTTGTTATGGTCAATATTTTGAATTCCTCTCACATCATAGTCTGAGACATACATTCTACATGAAAGGCGTTATCTCAATGGGAGTTATCTACTTTCAAATTCTTTACATGACCTATGACTGGGTAAGATGAGCACTCTCAATAATTTCCATGCCGAGTATTTGAGCTCAGGGCTCATAAAAGCCACCAAGTATTCTAATCAGTTTCACAAGTTATTTTGTTGACGACATATGCAACAAACATACCAACCATTCCTGATCCAGATTATCCCAGGATCTTGCTCTCTTTAGATTCACTGATTCATAAACACCATCACCAAGCATTCCCACCCCCTCAGCTTCTCCCACTATTTAGCTCAGGTACTGTCTACGGATAAGTGAAGTAATGTGGCTTAATAAGGACGTGTGTGAGATGCATCCTGAAGTTCAAACAATTAATACCTTGCATTACACTTGGTTCAGTTTTCCACATCAACTCAACCTAGCTAAATAGACAGCCCTAAATCTATAGGCATTTCCATCCAATGAAAACAGTCCCAGCCCACTTACTACAAACCAAGTGAGCCTGAATGACTGACCGGCAAACTTAAATAAGTAATTTCTGTCCTGGTTGGAAATGGCTTTGGGGCACCCGTCACCCAGATTAATTCTCCCGCAGCTCTGATCCTTGCACCAAATCACTCTCTCTTGCTAATAATCTCACCGTCCTGAACCATCTATTTGTGAGGTTCTTAGTGGGGATGATTTTGGCAAGAAAAAGTGGAAGTTTCAGTGACTGTTTTTCAGGTGAGCACAGCAATTTCAATTGGCTGTTGAAGCCCACTTGATGTCCCAGTGGGATTCATATCCACAAGATAATAATAAAAAAACCTTACATTTGATACAGAGCTTCTCACATCAGTAGGCCATCTCAAAGCGGCTATACTGTAAAGTGGAATGGCATTTTGTAGGCAAAGCTGCCCTCATTAGAAATATTGGTTTAATCCAGTTATTTGGAGCCAACATTTTATAAATAAGTTACACTTGTACATCCCTTAGTTTTGTCTGCAGTGCAGTAAGCTGATCCAAGCACAGCCTTGTGAAGGACTGTAGCGTAGTGGTTAGCGTGCACGCCTCGCAAGCGAGAGGACCCAGGTTCGCTTCCTGGGTGGGGCAAAACCTTACCCAAGTTTCATTACTCCTCACATATCTGTACCTAGCAGTAAGTAGGAACCCAGTTTATTAGTCGATTGGTGGATTGCTTTCCGGGGGTAATAACCCTTTAAAATGTTTTTGAAAAAATAGTAATAATTTGGTCACTCAATCCACGACTGTTTGTGGGACACATCTGTCTGCAATTGGCTGACAGGTTTCACCCACAACGTATATAGTCAATTCACTTTCAAGTATATTCTGTGAAGTACTTTGAGGCGTCTCAATGACGTGATGAGGCACTAATCAAATGCAAGCATTATTATTATTATTTTTATTCAGGCACAAGGATAACTGTTCCACTGTGTTACTGCTTACCTTTGGTGTGACGGGAGTTTTTTGCCAACACTTGTGCTGCCTTGTGAGGAGTGAAAGTCATCCTCGTATGTAGCCTGTTCCTCTGGGCTTGCAGCTTGCCCCTGGGGTCGCAGTATAGGTGAGCTTCTGTCAGACCCTTCCTGCAATCCTCCTGCAAACAGGAAACAATCAGTGGTCTCATATCTGTTGAATCTACTCAGACCTTTAAAGACAATCTCTGAAAACAGCTTGTTCAAAAAATACAAAACTACCACCCACATCCTCAGCTACACCAAACTCTGCACACCAGGGCAGTGGAGGTCAGATAAATAAATCCCACACACAATCCAGCTTCCTCTACAGCTGTCGAGGTAATTACTGTACCAACCAGAAATGGAAGCATTTAGTTAATGTTAATTCACAGGTTTCTAAATTTCTGTTCCCGAGCTTGGTTGAGTGTCAGAGTGAGCATGCCAGTAACATCAATGTCCAGATATTGGACTGTTCCCAGCACAGCACTGGCGGAAGGAAGCTTCTGGCTATTATCGTGCCGCTTGCAGACTGCAGCGAGGAAACAATACAGAGTAAAATATTGTGTGTACTTCAACTCTACATGTGCTAGCAGTCTTATATAAAAGGAAGTGGAAAGTGTGAATTGCGTTACCTTTTCCGTAGATCTGATAATTCTTTGTGAAGATGTTGATGACACTGTGAGGACTTCCCTTGGCCAGCTCTTCCCAGGGCGCCCTGCTCTTGCGGGCCTCTGACTGCAGCTGGAAGGGCTGGTATTTCTCTGCTTCTTTTTGGAACTCTCCTATTGGTCGTGAAGGAAACACTTCCCCTGCGCAGAATTCCCTTTCCCTCAGCCGCTCCGCTAACTTGACTGGGTCCCTGCTGGTGTACGCGCTTTCGTCTTCCGAGAGGCTTGCTTCACTCGGTATGGGGCCTTCGCTGATGGAGCCCGCACTGGAGTTATGGGAGTCATTGAGGTGTCTTCTCTCTCTGCTCAGCTTTTGTATGTTTTGTTCCACTGCCTCGAGTGACCGTTTATACGTGTGCTCCCAGCTCACTCCCTGACGTCTGTCCATTCCCAAAGTCCTGGGTTCACCCTCTACTCCGGCACTTTGGGGCCTGGGCTGCTCGAGAGGCTTTTTATACTCATAAAGATTGCCGACCCCGGGCAGTCTATCGTCATATATCGTGTGGCCAACGTTTGCCCCCAGGATTCTCCGCATTGTGGCTGAAAACTCATTCTCACCCTCGTCACGGACAGGAGGGCTGACGGGTTTAGCCCAGCGCTCGTCCTCTCGCGCTGGCTGAAGCACATCGTGTTCAGAGGTGTGAGGGGCTCCGTAGTTGATGGCCACACCAGCCAGCTTTTTGGCTTCACTTTCCAGGCGGTTGGCGAGGGAGGCTGCAGTCGCTTTCAATGCTTCGATGCGATCCAGCTTACTTTTGTACTGGCCGGTGGTTTTTTGTGAACCAGTTGCATAGTCAGATAGCACGGTAGAGGTTGGGAATTGCAGGGAAGGGTGCTTCCCTTTAGAAGACATCTCCTTCCTTCTCGCTGGAGATTCACATTCCCTCTGCAGCAAGCCTCGGCACTCCAGCTTTAACAGGTGTGAGAAAAAGTTGCCTCCGGTGTGAGGATGGGCCGAGAGCGCAGCAGGGCTGAGTCGATCAGCCGGCATCCAGGAAGATTCCAACACATCAACCCTGCAAAGCGAAAAGAGAGTGAACTCGTTTTCAGAAGCAAATAACAGCGTTTGATCACTTTATAATAATAATCCTTGCATTTGAAATAGTGCATTATCATGTTTTCGAGACGTCTCAAAGCGCTTCACAGAATAAACTGTGAAGTGAATTGACTATATTTTGTGGGCGAAACACTGCAGCCAATTGACTCAATTTGTGTCCCACAAACAGAGGTGAATTGAGTGACCAAATTAATATTTTAAATTTTTTTTTAAGGGATTATTACCCTCGGAAAAGTGATCCACCAATTGATTAACAACTGGATTCCTACTTACTGCCAGGTAAACAGAGGCGCGTGGAGTAAGGAAACTTGCCTAATGTTTCAACATGCCCAGGAATCCAACCCGGGACATCTCGATTGCGAGGTGAGTGTGCTAACCAATATGTTACAGGACTCCGCTTTCATTCTTAACCCTGCATCTAAACAGCAAGCCAAAGTTGGGACCATGAGCAATGCTCCCAACTTTCAAAAGAACAGCAATAAATGGTTTTGGAAATCATTCAAAAACAAAGTTGGTAAAAGAAGGAAAACAACAAACACAATGTTTTTTTCTCTAAAGTGGAGCTGGCATTTTTCATTTTCTATTTCTAAAGGAACAAGGAAACTGACCAGCTTGGTTCAGATCCAGATTTAAGCTGCTGGTGGCAGTTTAGTGTTCAGTTCCCAGCAAATGACTTGTGAAAGGAAGCTACCAGCTAAAGGAAGCCATTTATTGAAGGGGATGATAAATCAAAGGGTAAAGGTCCTCAAACGTTAACTGTTTTTCTCAAAAGATTGGGCTGTGGAACCCCATTACAGCTCACTGTTCAAACAATGAACAGAGTACAGTGATATCAGCCAAGGCAAAGCTCTTGTTGCAGGTCCAAAAGCTACAGTATTTTATACTGATCCCGAGCTGTACTGGAAATCCATGGTTATCAATAAAATAATAATCTTTGCACTTGATGTAGGGCCTGCCTTTCATGTCGGAAGGGTGTCTGAAAGCAATTCATAAGATATACTGTAAAGTCCTGTGACTATTTGTAGGTGAATATGGTAGCCAATTTACTCATAGCAATATTCCACAAACAACCATGAAGTGAATGACCAATTTTATCTGGGGGATTGTTGTCCAAGACCCTGGGAGAGAGAAACTCCTTCATTTTGAGCTTTGAGATGTCTTGAAGACGTGATAAGGTGCTATATCAAATGCACGGATTATTATTATATTATTACTATTTGATCACACCTAGTACTGCATTTGGATGTGAACCTAGATTATATGAGTTGAAAGTGGACCGCAACCTTCCGACTCAGAGACAAGAGTGCATCTACCATGTTCAAGGAAAATTCATGGAAATAGTAGCTTGTGATCAGTCACCAGAAAGAAGGGCTGCACCTGAGATATGACTCTATCTTGCCAGATAGTGACCCATGAGCTGGTGGGCAATTCCAGCTCTCCTACACTTGGCGCAGTGGTAGCACTCTCGCCTCTGAGTCAGAAGGTTGTAGGTTCAAGCCCCACGTCAGGACTTGAAATCACATAGTCATTAGAACTGACACTCTAATGCAGTGCTGGGGGTGAGTTGCATTGTCTGAGGTGCCGTCCTTCGGAAGAGGTCTTAAACCGAGGTCCCATTTGCCTGTTCAGGTGGACTTTGAGATGCCATGGCACTAATTGAAAAGAGAAGGAAGTTTCTCCTGTCTAACAATCCTCCCGCACCCCCCCACAAATAAAATTGGTCACTCGCTCCATGACTCTTTATGGGACATTGCTATGCGCAACTGGCTGCTATGTTTCACCTACAAAATACATAGCCAATCCACTTTACGGATCCTGTGATGCACTTTGAGACATCTTCGAGACATGATAGGATGCTATATCCAATGCAAGGATTATTAATATTAAGAGGAAACTAGCAACAGAAGGTTTACTTGAAACTGCAGTTAAACTCAATCTATCATCAATAAACATATATCATCAAAGCACAACTGCATGGGGCTGCTCACACTGGAGAGCTCCAGTAAAACTGTCACCTCTCAGAATGGTTTTATATCCGTGTGCAACTGCATCAAAATGCAACCTCTACAAAATTAAGATATTTACACACATATATATATATTAAAAAAAACTGGCCTGTGGGCACCAGCCCAGGCTGCCAAACAAACCATTGCAGAACAGTGAAATCTAATGACAGCTTTCAATAGAAAGTCACAAAATAAAATTAACACAGAACAAATGTACAAAATGGGACTGGTTTAGACTGTAACCAACTTTTGATGTGTAATCTGGCAAAATGCCCTCATTTAATGAGTCTGCAACTTTCAATTTAACAGCAATGAACACAGTGATTTACAGGGCGTTTATTTTCCTAAATTACAGTGGGTCACAGGCAGCAAATGCTCTTAAAGAGTGAAAAATCAGTATTCATTTAAAAAGCTCAGGAACCAGTCCAACCACGCCCGCAGTGGCATTAGCACTCACTACGAAACAAAGTCAGCATGATAAACGAACAGAAAGGTGATGCCATTTCATTAAAAGGAAAAGTGTTCCATTTTATTTTGCAGCGACAGTGACGGGTCCCTTGCCCAAGGTGGCAGCCACGCCAAAGCACAATGAGCATGAATGTATCAGGCAGCTGAGGACAACAACTTGCATTTATATAGCACCCTTCACACGGGCAGGGTCTCAGAACACTTAACAGTGGCGGAACCTGACATCTACAAATACTGATATACTTGTGTTTTTTGTATTTAATAAATGACTGTTAGGTGTTACCTTTATAGTGTCTGAACTAAATCTCTCTCCTTTTTGTTAGTGTTTTTAGCATTCCTACTGCATTCTGAAACTAAGTTTTTTTAAGAAATCTTGAAATGGAAGCAACTTTCCCAGTGCAACTGAAGGCTGATATATGACCAAATAGTTCACAGCTCTTCTCTGTATTTCTATCATTCACTTTCCTCATACTACGTACCACCTGTAATGCTTCAGGCCACTTCCTCACACAGGGGTTTTGAAGTTTGTAGGCACAAAGATTGACTGCAGCTGTAGAAACATCATATCTCTATCTAACTGGTGCAGGAAACTGAATACTGTTTAAGTGTCTGCCATGTCACCTCGAGAGACCAGAGTGGATAATCAATAGAATCTGCACTCTGTTGACTTTCACATTCCCGAATATGCTTAGTCATTCAGCAACACAAGCACGTATTCTCACTGAACCCTTTCTTACAGACCCTCAGCCTTTGCATTCATCTGTCCTCCTGAAATGAACATTTTACCCAGATTGGAGACTTTGCTGAGGCTGCCTACTGAATTAGTTACCTTTTGCCTATTGATAATGTATGTTTTTTGTGTAACAGAATTTCTGCAGTTTAACCCAAGCATTACTATTTAGGAAGCCTCCAGTTAACTAAGGGTAGAATCACACTGCCCTTACTAAATGACAATGGAACACAGATAATTTATAGAGCAGGTCATTGCACGATTGTTGTTTCACTGATGAAGAGACTACAAAGGGTAGATTTGTACGTTATAATAACCTGTTAAAGGGTGATAATACACAGCAAGAATTTAGGATTGAAAATGGCCATGCCATCGGTCACCCCCCTTCCCCTCCCTGATCCCAGCTCGGGTCTGAAATGCTGTACACTGTCCAGCGCCTTGGGACGTCCTCCCGACGTGAAAGGCGCTATACAAATGTAATCTTGTTGTTGTTGTCGCCTTTGTCCACTTAGGGCCCTTGAGCTCAGGTAATGGGAGTTCACCAGAGCTACACTGTATTAGTTAATACACTGGCTCTTACCTGCCTAGAGGCTGCGGAGGCTCTGAGAGAGACATGTCACTGCTGGACGAGGCACTAAGAGGACGCTCCTGACCTTTGTTCTCCTTGTCCGACTCTCCTGAAGGCTGGTAGATTGATCTTGGCTGAACAAAGTATAAAAGAATATTTTTAAAGATTACCAAAAAACAGAAAGGAGGTAATGTGGAACTTGTACAAATTCTTAGGCTACAGATGAGTGTATTGTGCCCTGTTAGGGGCACTCCTTTGTCAGGAAGATATAAAGCAATGGAAAGATGGAGCATAAATTCATTAGAACGTTCTAAGGGTTGAGGGGTTTCAGTATTGAGGAGAGGCTTAAGAATTGAGCGCTCCCCTCCCACGCCCCATTAGAATGTGGAAAGACACCGCAATTGAGCTGGAGACTTTAAACATGTCGACTAAATTTGGAGAAAACTCCCTGTGGCTATTCTGTACTCTTGAGAGAAACTCTCACCTGTTTGTCCTCGAGGGCTGGCTGATGGTGAGCCAGCTCATCCAGCTTCGCCTGCTCAGACACAAATTTAGAAAAAGTCTCCTGTAATCGCTTCTGGCACATCGGCTCTGTGCGAGGCCTCATGAAAGCTTCTTTCTGTTTCCTGTACAGCTCCTGCAGCCGCTTGTTCCTCTGCTCCATGGCCTCTTTCTGGGCTTTCTTCTCCTCGCTTTGTTTCTTCTTACGCTCCACCTGCTGCCGCACGATGTATTGCCGCACCTCCTCAGAGTCGTAATGCCGTAGTCGCTTTAGCTGTGTCTCCGTGCTCGGATTCCCTTTGTCCTGCTTGCGTTTAGCAGGGCTCGCGCTTCTGGAAGTGGGCCGAGATACTGAGGAATTCTGCACACCCTCCACCCTGCCCGTCACCTCCCGATCATGGTTTGGTGCTTCGAGCTGAAGGTCGTCAAGAATGCCCCGAACCTCCGCGGGAAGCACATGCGTGTTCACGGTGTCCATAGCACTCGGCTCCTCTCCCTTTTTATGATCTACCTCCGGCTGCTGCCTGGGTCTTGGTCGCTCTGAACTACGGGGCCTTGATGTTCCTGCAGCTTCAAGTCTGGTATCAGACTCTGCTCGTGTATTATGTCCTGCAGAGCAAAAAGGGGAAAAACTTCATTCAAAAAACATTCAACCATGTGCATCAAGCACTTTAGATTTTACTATAGTACCATGGCAAAGCCTTTAGTCAGGTAAACAATTGTAAATTGACCAGCAACACTCTTAAATATCTGACCAAAACTATTAGGAATGTCACCTAAACAATCATGAACACATTCCCGACGTTTATTCTGTACCTTTATAACAAGGTACATTCAAATTAACAAACCTGCTGTGTCTGTGCTGCGTACTTCCCCCCACCATTTCACTCTTATGAGGCCACATCCAACTCTGCACCTCCAACTCTCTATTCCAACAATGCCTTTAGCACTCTGCCTACACCACCCCCAAACTAGACATGAGCCATTCTACCCATCTCCTGCAATGTCGTCTACAGTTTTCCCCATGATCGGTAGGGTGATCTGAAATACCTCCTCCAAGCAACCCATAGCCACACCTGAACTAAAATAACCTCTTTGCGGTGAGAGGTCATGGGAAGGGCAGGATGTATTAATAATAATCCTTGCATTTGATATAGAACATTATCACATTATTGAGCTATCTCAAAGCACTTCACAGAATATACTGTGAAGTGGATTTACGGTGTATTTTGTGGGCAAAACGCAGCAGTCAATTGCACACAGCAGGGTCCCACAAACAGTCGTGGATTGATTGACCAAATTTGGGGTGCAGAGCGGTCGATTTAGTTTCAGTGCTTTTCAAACTGTGGCTTCAATGGGCTTCAACAACAACAACTTGCATTTACATAGTGCTCTTCATGCTGGAAGGCGTCTCAGAGAGCTCAACAGAGTGCTTCAAAGTGGGGAAAAGAACTTTTGCAGGTTTTAATTTTAAAACATGATGTGGTTGCCCTAAGGTAATGTGTTCCATGAATGCAACTTCCTGTAAATTTACAGATTAATTTTTATGCTTTTAGTTTCCTTTCTGTTCTTTATTCAACATCAATAAAAGCTTTTCTATCAAAAGACTAATTTAAACACTGAGATACGAAGCTACAATATTCACCATTTCAATTATTAAGCTGCTCTATCACAAACCTTTCAGAATAGGTTTCATTTGACTCTCCGTCAATTCAAACTTAAAAATAAACACTAACATGCATTTCAAATTTAAAAAAACCTAGAATCCTACATAGATTCCATAAATAACACGGATCATATGAGAAACTGTGGCAAATCAATGCAAGCCTCACAGTGAGACAGAAGAGAACAAGAGCTAACCAGAAGCGAGAGAGATTCTAGTTACTGGGCAAAAGAAGCATCAGCTTTAAGCAAAGCTGCTGACAGGACATTTTGTAGCTCTCCGCGCTTCTGGCAAGGCCAATCGCTGCAGGCGGACAAATTAATTTATCTCACAGATTAACAGATTCCATCACTAAATTTAATCGCCGACAATACATCTGAAACTCTCAGTGGGAGCAGGGTAAGGACGTAAAGAGAAGAGTGGTTAGCTCACCTGCTCTGGCGTTCCTATCCCTACCAGACCTTTCATTGGAGACTCCCTCACTGTCCTTCACAACCTTGGGGGTAGGTCCCAGAACCATCTTCACCAGCTTCTGCCCTTCACGCCAGGAAGCAGGATTGATAATGTGGGCACCTGGAGAAAACATCTAAAATATAACTTGCTTCTCTAAGAACAAATACATTCACTTGCATCCTCAATTCTTGTAGGAACAGGAAACTGCACTTATTTGGAAATAATCTATAGAAATGCACAAAGTACAAATATTTCTGGGCACCAATACCAATCAACAACAACAACAACAAGATTCCATTTATAAAGCGCCTTTCACGTCAGGAGGACGTCCCAAGGCGCTGCACAGTTGGGTCATGACCCGAGCAGGGGGGAAATGGTCAGGGTGAGGGGAGGGAAGGGAGGGAGCGAGAAGGGGGGAAATGGTCAGGGTGAGGGGGGGTGAGGGGAGGGAAGGGAGGGAGCAAGGAGGGGGGAAATGGTCAGGGTGAGGGGAGGGAAGGGAGGAGCGAGGAGGGGGAAGAGAGTCGAGAGGGGAGCTGAAGGCACGGTCAAAGAGAAAGGTTTTGAGACCGGCCTTGAAGGAGGAAAGGGAGGAAGCAAGGCGAAGGCACTGGGGGATGGAGTTCCAGAACCTGGGGGCTGAGAGGCTGAAGGCCCGGCCACCGATGGTAGGGCGGTTGCGGCGGGGGATGTGGAGTAGACCGGAGCCAGAGGAACGGAGGGTACGGGCAGGTAGGTGGGGGGATAGTAGGTTGGAGAGGTAGGAGGGAGCGAGGCCGTGAATGGCCTTGTAGGTGAGGATGAGGATCTTGAAATCAATCCTCTGGGGGATGGGGAGCCAGTGGAGGCGAGCGAGGGTGGGAGTGATGTGGTCGCGAAGCCTGGTGCGGGACAGTACACGAGCTGCAGAGTTCTGAATGACCTGCAGTGTGGAGGGAGGTGGCGGGAAGGCCGGCGAGGAGAGAGTTCCCATAGTCCAGCCTTGAGGTGACAAAGGCGTGAACCAGGGTTTCAGCAGCGTGAGGGGTGAGGTAGTGCCGTAGTCTGGCGACATTCCGGAGGTGATGGAAGGCGTTACCAGTTGTGGTGCGGATGTGAGGGAGAAAGGACAGCTCAGGGTCGAACAAAACGCCGAGGTTCCTGACTGGCTTTGAGAGGTGGAGAGTGCAGCCTTGGATGCTGATGGTGTCAGCGCCTGAGGTGCGGAGGCGCTGACGTGAGCCAATCAGGAGGGCCTCGGTTTTTCGCACGTTGAGCTGAAGAAAGTTGTCTCTCGTCCAGGACTCGATGTCGGACAGGCAGCTGTCAGGACATCGGTGGTCGTGGAGTTGAGGGTAGAGGAGGAAAGGTAGAGTTGGGTGTCATCCGCATACATGTGGAAGTTAACTCCATGTCTGCGGATGATGTCACCACAGGGGGAGCATATAGAGGGTGAAGAGGAGGGGACCAAGGACAGAGCCCTGAGGGACACCACATGAGACAGTGCGGGGGGTGGAGGAGAAGCCATTCGTCGAGACAAAGTGAAAATCAAGTACTAAAAATCAGCTCAATGAATGGTGCTTCACAGAATATATTGTAGAGTGACTGTGTATGTTGTAGGCAAAACCCGGCTCCTCTCGCTCGTGAGGAGAGTGTGATAAACACTGATCTACGGGACGCCACGGATACTCAGTAGGCCATGCTGCAGTGTTACATCTCTGCACAGCTGGAGAGGGATACTGACTGCCACATACAATAGGCATCTGATACAAACTTTTCCCTGGATATCATCTTTCGAGTCCACTCTGAGAAGGGTTAAAGTAAAGGGCACTATGGTTGTTCTTGTCTCTCTACATTGATAGCAAAGGACCAATGCAGGTTAAGCTTGCGGTATATAAAATGTGCTTTGATTAGATCTACTTCATTGTCCCGAGCTCCTGGGCTAGCAGAAGGGGTTCCTACAATCTGTTTGCGAAATCCAAGCAGGGAGGTGGATTTGTAAACAGGGTAAGCGATTAAAAGGAGGACTGGCTTCGGTTCTCAATGTCAAGTTATGGGGTTTTAGTTGGTTAAACTCCAGCAGTCGCCCCTTATGTATATCCACCTTAGTTTGTCTGGAGAGTGTTGTCATCTGTGCTGGTGCTCACTCCCCACTTACAACTCTCTACTCCAAAACCTTTCCATGGCTCATTTCTCCATTGTGCCTTTGCAGGTGAGAGCACCAGAACTCACCTGAGGGGAACATCCTGCTCACCTAACAACAACAACTTGTATTTATATAACGCCATTCATACAGAGTAGTGTCCTGCTCACCTAATCCCATGAACTATTAGGTGCAGGTTGAGGGTGGAAGGGTGTGCATTGAAATATTGCTGGAGCTTAACCAGGTAAAATTTGCCACTGCAAATTCTGTCTGTCAAGATTCTTGATACTTGTAAGCCCAAGTGTGGGCAGAGCCACTCAGATCAGCTGGAAAGAGAAACTGTGGAACTGGAGGCAACAGATTGGATTCATAGCTGCTTAATGACTCAGATGGGACCTCACAGAGGTGTAGAACAATTTAAATGGGATTGAAAAAAGTAAACCCAGATCAATACTTTAAGACAGAAGAACAAGATGACGCAGGTTTAGGATTGTAAAGCGAATTTCAGGACAGACACTAGGAAGTTTTTCTTTACTCAGAGGAATTAATAACTGGAACAGGTTGCCAGGAAGGGTGGTTGAGGACAAGATACTGGACTCTTATAAAAAGCAGTTTGATGTTGAGATGAGGGGACGATAGGAGGGGTGGGTGTTCTGAAGGGATGAGATTGGCCTTCTTCACCTGGAGTTGAGAGCTCCAGTGAGGAGTGAGCACCAGCATAGACAAGATGGGGAGAGCGCGGGAATGGGGTTGGAGTAGCACAGACACGATGGCCTCCTGCTGTGCTATAAAAAGCTCCTTTGATATTTTGAAAGCTCGGCCATAACTTGTGTGAAATCAGACTGCCACAGTAAATCAGCTGCTACAGTTAGAGTATTGAACACTATTGGCCAAAGCAATAGCATGAAATTAAATAAGTACTGTAAGGGAGTCAATGTACCAACTGGTACAAATTCCTGAGGAAAATAAATAGCTGCAAATCTTTGAAAAAGAAACCACCAGTTAGGATAGAAACTGGCGGCTTTTTAAAGCCGAGGGGTTTATTTTTAGTACCTACTGCTGAGACATCCATAACTGCAGTGTCAGGCAGGGCAGTACATCCCCTCCTCCAGCCTGGCCTCTCTCCCCAGAGGCTGTACAAATGCAGGACATCAGAGAGAGCAGAACAGAACGCTAGCTCACTGCAGCAGCCCTGATAAATTTAGCACACACATTGCGTGCCATGCAGCCTGTCTGAGAGGCTACTTTTAGAAACCATTTGGCCCACAGGGAAACGGCAGAATCCAGGAGCAGCACATTCAGTCAAAGATGCTGCACCACAGCTCCAAAAAGTAGAATACTGCAGTTGTTTTATAATATAACAGTAACATGAAGGCAGTATGGAGCATTGAGAGAACCCCATGAAATTATGTTTACTTCTCATCATTTTTGGTTTTATTTTTGAGATTTCTTGTAACTTTGTTTTATCCATTAAAAGGTCGTTTTATTGCTTTTTATTACATTTACAATATTTAATGGTAATAGAGGTTTAGACATTTTAAGCTTCGGTTGCAAAAATCTAAATTTCCACACTTTCAAGGTGCGCACAATAGACTCTCGTACAGGTATGCATTGACGGAGACATTGAGTCCCGTAGTGTAGCGGTTAGCGCACCTCGCCTCGCAAACAAAAGGACATGAGTTTGATTCCCAGGCGGGGCAAGACTTAGGCAAGTTTCCTTACCCCACGCGCCTCTATTTCCTTTAGCAGTAAGTAAAAATCTGGTTGTTAGTCAATTAGCAGATCGGTTTCCTGGGGGTAATAAGCCCTCAAAAAAAATGCTGGTCCTTAATCCATGACTATTTGTGGGAGACTGTTGTGTACAATTGGCTGCCTTGGTTTGCCCATAAAATAGGTTCGCCCACAGAATACACTTTACAGTATGTTCTGTGAAGCACTTTGAGACATCTCAACCATGTTGTAAGGTGCTATATCAATCCAAGGATGATTATTATTATTATTGACATGCTCCGTTGACCGTGTCTATGGAAGTGATGGAGTCGAGACAACTGCAGTTGCAAGTTTTCATTTGCTTTTTAAATATTTTTGCACAGAACTCACTAATTTTTTAAACTTTCTTCTTGTGTCTGTTTTTTTAATGATTTTTTGTTTTATGTAATTTTCTCCATTGCATCGTGTTTGATTTTGTTATTTCACATTTGCAAATACCATGGTGCTCTAAGCATTGCTGCACTGTGGCAGAGAGAGAAACACAGAGCTAGTTATCTCGGGCTACTATCTACACCAACAGTCAGTTGTATAATTGCATTGTCATAGATTTGGCATTATTTCCATGCCACTAGAAACTGCTTTTGTTTACATGTTTACATTCAGATGTCTGTGGAAACTGGTCTCAAAATCTGTTGCAAGCTCACATGGCTCCAAACATGCAAACTACCACCAAAATGAATAATTTGAGCTTGGAAACTGAAACTTACCAACTTCCATTACAGAGCAATTTATGCAAGATAAACATCTCGGAGTGAGTTAGTGATGGGGTTGGACATCGAATGGGGAGGGTTGGGGGGGAGATGATCATAGCTAGACATGGTTAAAGAGGTAGCTTTTTAGGAAGGATATGAACGCAGATGGTGAGAGGGCAAGAGGGAAAGATGAAGGGAGGCAGTTCCAGAGGAGAGGCTGAGGCAGGCAGAGAAGCAGAGATGAGCAAAGAAGGCTAAGCAGTGGAGTGGGGTTGAAGGAGACCAGAGAGCTAAGGAGGTGCTGGAGCGTGAAAGGATTTGCAATCCAGGTTGAGGACCTTGAAATTGATCCAATGGGAGATGGGGAGACAGTGGCGTCTGTGCAATAGACATGAAGAGTTTGGTGTGGGTGAGGAATGTTGGCAATGGAGTTTTGAATAAATTGGGAGTTTATGGATAAAAGGGAAAAATGTGCAGGAATGTTCAGTGGGTTGAGAAGTTTAATAACCAAATTGTAGTAATGTACTTCCAGGTTCGTGAATATTTTATTAAATGGGCAGAAGTGATCCAGGTGAACAATGTGAAGTGTCCCCATCCCGGTACAAAAAACACAATACCCACAGTGCCGATATCCCTGATTCCCCACCAGCACTAAAGTCTTGAGATGGGAGAATCCAGTTACTCACTTGGTTTAACGTCAGGGCTGAGCGATCGCGTGATCTTCTGCACTTTACGCACAGGTTTTGTGGTTTTCTTCTCTTTGGTTTTGTCAGATGCAGTGTCCTTCATCTTGCTGCTTTCTGTCAACAGTAATGCAAAAGTTACACGATGCTGCAGTACAAACCAGGCATGGAAGGTTACACCCTTACCTAGGTCAGGACATTTGAAATCATTAAGAACTTTTAATTCTGGGTAATAGTGGAATCCATGTCTGGCTCATAAGCAAGAAGTAAGCCTTACAATTCTGTAAAGTCTAATTTATCACTGAAAACCAGATTCCATTAAGATGACACTCATATGTTTAGCAATGACCCTGTGACTGTGGGAGACCAACTGGTCTGACACATTGATGGATGATAGCAATGCTTGCATGCTGCACTCTACACCCACCAAGCAGCTTCCAGCACAGCCTCTGAACAAACCACTTCAACTATTTACAAAACCACTTCAGCTGTATAGAAATGCACTACACACGACAGCACCCGTTTGGCTTCTGGACTTGTAACCTTGGCTGGTGATTGATGCTGCCTCAAGTCCAACGGGGTGCTTGTGTGAACAATGTTCAGCAAAGCAGCAAAATTCGTACACATTTCATCTGCTGATTAACTTTCTGTGTGACCCACTTTGATTCTCTATGTACAAAGCCTCAGCCTAATCCCATCACTGTACCAGGTCGGAAAATTATTTTTAGTTTGTCCCTCAAGACTCATAAAAGCAGTATAAAGCAGGAGGAATGCACAGTCAGCCTGTAAATTAAACTGGATTTAACCACATATTTTCAGAATTAACTCAATTGCATGTTGAACTCCCAATTAGAAATATTAAAATATTCGCCCAAAACTCAAGTCAGGACTAAGTTGATGGAGACGACCTAAAATGTCCCAGCGGTTTTCAGACAAAGAAGTTGGGTTGTTGTAACGAGTTTAAGAAAGTAGTCTTCACAAAATGACACACAGAAAGACTCAGGGATTTTTACTCAGCAGCCCTCCTCCTCAGCTACACCTTTTAAAGAGCTTACATTTAATAGGTGAACGTAATTTTATATTCTAATGTGAGACTTAAATCCATAATTTAAGGTTATTAAGATCGCTCATAAACTTACAAAATAGTTCTGAGTATGATCAGTGAGTTGTGAGCCCATTATTACTGACAACACATTGGAAGAGGGTATTAAAATCTGTTTTAATTTTGAAGATTTTACCAATTAGACAAATCCTGAATTTTAGCTGCCATTGCTATTAATAATAATCCTTGCATTTGATATAGCTCCTTTTCACATCATTGAGCTGTCTCAATGTGCTTCACAGAATATACTGTAAAATGAAGTATACTTTGTGGGTGAAACACAGCAGCCAGTTGTACATAACAATGTCCCACAAACAGCCATGGAATCAGTGCCTTTTTTAAAAAAATTTGGGGGATTGTCAGGCAGGACAACACACAGAGAAACTCCCTTCTCTTTCCAAATCGTGCCATGGGATCTTTAACATCCACCCTTTACACTTCACACTGTGCACTTTCCATTTCCCACACCAGCCAACCATTGGCCAATGTAATATGAGGCTATATTCATTTTTATTGTATGGACTCTCACCTACGTGTCAAATTTATTACACTAGAATTTTCACATCCAGCACTGTGTGTGGACTTTCAATAACTCGGTTAGAAATGGAATTGTCAGAGATGGAAAGGACTGTGTACGACCCCACTTGACAAGTTAGTATATCCTACCTCCTAACTGAAGTGGGAAATCCCGGTATAGGTCTCTGGTGATGCTGCGGAATTCATCTTCACGCCATACTTTTCCATCTGGAGTTCGGATCTTCGTCTCCATGGGATTGAAACCTGATATGGAATCAAAGATCCAGAACATCAAACTCCATGCACATCTTTTTCCATAGCGAGTGCTCTAACCAATACACTACAGGACTCATGGAAAATTGCATTTATATAGTGCCTTTCACGTTGGGAGGATGTCCCAAGACGCTACTAGCGAGAAGGTTGGGGGTGGGGGTGGGGGGGGGGAAAGAGAGAGGGAAGACAGATTTCCAGCACATTGATTGCATAAAGGAGCAGAAACAATTATGATGGTCTCCTAAGTCCATGAACAGTGCACAGATGGCATTACTGCTGCCTGGGAATTCCTTGTGAAGTTGAGGTGGGATCTGTGGTGGAGTGTGTGTGTGTGTGGGGCGGGGGGGGGGGGCAACAAGTTTCCAGTACATCAACTTCAAAAAGTCACTTTGAAAACACAAAGATAAAACCAACAAATTATATTTGTATAGCACCTTTCACTTCAGGAGGATGTGGCAATTCGCACTCGAAATTCTCATGACAGGTTAGGATAAAGGCGGCCCTCAATCTATTTGAACCCACCTTTCCAAATCATCCATCCGATTTAAACCATCCATCACAACACTGTTTTTTTTTAAGATGAGTCCAACATATTCCCACACTCTGCTTCACAAGCTCAAGCCTCACGCCCCCATGTTTCATTGGCTCCTTAACCCCTGCAGAATGTTAACATCCCCTTCTAACTTGCAAATGCATCCAGGACCTTGCTCCACCCTACCTTTGATCACCTGTCATCCTAATCCCCTCGTTTTCACCTTAACTCAGGCCATGACCCTATCATCCCTATCCTTGCCTGGCTCCACTGGCTCCCTATTCTCTCAGAGGATAGAGGTCAAAATCCTTGTCCTCAGCTTCACCTCTCTGCCCCAACCCTTTGAAACTCCATTCCACAGTCCTTTCGCCTTAGTCCCTTAGCCTTACTCCCTCCCTTGCCTCCTTCAAGGCACGTCTCAAGAGCCTCCTCTTTGGCCACCCTCCTACCCCTACCCTCCCTGCCCTACACCCCTCCTGATCCTAACCCCCAGCTTTAGACCAAATCCCTGATTGTCCAGTGCCTCCCGACATGAAAGGCGCTATACAAATGTAATTTGTTGTTGTTCTAGCTTATCCACCCCCAGCTCTACCCTATGTCCCTTCCTCTCTCCGCCTCACTTTTGGCAGGCAAGCTATCTGTAACCACCTCCCCAGCTCAAGCTCCCAATCAGCTATGTGAAGGTAAAGGGAGGCAGTCTCGGTGAGGGATCAGAGAAAGTTAGAGAGAAAGTAAATACATGAGGGATAAAGGAATGGGAGAAGGCATTAGGAGGGGTGAGGTATAAACCCTGGCATGGGCTAGATTGCTCAATGGCCTGGTCCATGCGTTACAGTGTATGCGATTCTATGTAACTGAATTCTCAATCCACATCTTCTTGCCTAGTGGAAAAAACATGCAAAGTTCTTTCTGTTGTTCTAACACTGAATGAAGAAGTACATTAAAACTTTTTTTCAAACAAACATCCGAGTTTCTAACATCTAAGCATCAGTGAGGAAGAGGTGGTGGTGAGTTGATAAGCCCAACAGTTCAAAGGATGTGAATGCCAGAAGCTATGTCATTGACTTTATCATTCCTTCACCTTCAACTATGTTAATTCAGTGCTCTCACGCTGCAGACATCAGCAACCGTCAGTTGTACAGATCAGATCCTCATTGCTCAAACAGAAGAATATTAAATATTAGGGGCTCAGATTGTGAGCTGTGTTTCAATCATTCACAACAGAATAGCCAGGAAAGCATTTATAAAAATTCCATCCTGTAAAGCCACAGTAATGGAAGCGTTCCCCTTTTTATTTCAGTTCCACGTAAATCTCTTCCCTTTTGAAATAGTGGAGCCCTGAATACTGTGGAGTTGCTGTAGCACAGCAACAGATCCAGGGAACACCAGGTGCCAGCCTGCACCCAACACAGTGAGCTCCCAGTCTCAACCACATTCTCCAGTGGGATGAAACCTTACAGAGTCCAGGCATATCTCTATAAGATTCACTGTGTGGGGTTTACATTGGCACCTTGTAGGCGGATTCAGAAGATGGGGAAAGCATTGGCTGAGTCCTTAAATCAGATTTCCTGACCATCTGTCCTATTGCCCTGAGATACATGTGTTAGATCAGGTACACAATGCACTAACAGTATAAGCTTGGCTCACCTTTGTACGTCGGAGCAGGGGGTGCTGCGGTGACCTTTCTTACTTTGGTAGTAGGAGTTGCCGTGTCTACGCTGAACCCAACCGTCTGTTCAGAGAAGTTCAGTAGTCGCTCCCTCTCAGCAGACTCCTCGGACTGTTCCCGTTGTTTCCTGATCCTCTCCTTCAGCTTCTCAAGCTTGTCATCATGTTGTTTCTTGCGCATGATCTCCAGTTTCTGCATCACTGACTCGGATGTGGAGCTCGGTGAAGACAACTGGGATGGTTCTGAAGGTCGATCGTTCTTAGAGTCAGACTCGTAACCTGGATTAGCACAGGAACCTCTGGCCCCCAGGTCTGCATCCTTCTGTCCCAGTGTGCCTCGGTTCACAGCTTTGTAAAGTGTTTCTGAATTGTGCAGGGCATCGAGTGCTGAATGGTCATTGAGATATTTCACAACTGTATCGTCCACTGCAGACGAACGAGTGCTGTCGTCATCCAGACAGTGGAAATTCCGTTTGTCTCTTTCATACATGATGCGGCTGCTTTCCTCCTCCTTTCCATGCACTTCATTAGAATTTAGATCAATGAGGAGACGCTGAGCTTCTAGCTGACTAGCAGTCAAATAGGGTGGGACTCTTGTATCCAAATCTCTGTAGGAAAGAGATACAAATTAAAATTGTTCCTTGTACTTTTTAACATCTAATCAATTATTAATAATAATCCTTGCAATTGATATAGCGCCTTATCATGTCGTTGAGATGTCTCAAAGCGCTTCACAGGATAGACTGTAAAGTGGATTGCCAGTGTTTTTGTGGGTGAAAAGTGTCAGCCAGTTGCGACAGCAATGTCCTACAAACAGCCATGGAGTGAATTGTTGTCCAGGACACAGGAAGAAACCATTCTCTTTTCAAATAGTACCATGGGATCTTTAACATCCAACTGAACAGACAAATGGGCCTTCAGTTTAACGTCTCACCAGAAAGACGGCACCTATCTGAAAAGTGCTATATCAAATGCAAGGATTATTATTATTATTAAGAGAATGCCATCCTAGCTGAGATGGCTTTTCAATAAAATGGATGCGTTTCATCCACAAATTTTTCATTCCAATTTTTCCCCAGAGCATAGGTGGTTTACGAAGCAATTCTATGCTCAGTTGAATATAGGAAATTTACTGCAGTGACAGAAACCCAGACGATGGTCACCTTTGGCTCCTTTTACCGAATGAGTGAAGAGTTAGGGCAGCTTTCAAGACTAGGAGCAAACACACGCCCAATCGCCAAGTTGGGAAATGATGCCTCATGAATAGAACCAGAGCTTATGAATGAATGAAATTAAAAGGAAAATATTATATTGAACTGAACTGTTCACGACTCTTAATTTGGGATTTAAAGCTTGCATATTTTTGAATTAAGCCAAGCTGGTTCATCATTTTCCAAACGTGGTTTCAGTTTTGAAACAATAAGGGTTATGGCACCTATAGCATTATTTGAGCTGAATTAGTCAAGTGTGGAACCAATCCTCATACCTGTAGGAAGTTAAAGGATCGCGGAATTCTACTCGACTGCTCTTCTTTATGTTGCTTTCCAGAGTGGTCGCTCGCAGGGGGCTCCGGGAGGATTTCTCTCTCCGGGACTTGCTTCTGCTGCCAGACTTCACTGCTGGAACAGAGCCTGCAGAATCCTCCAGGTACCTTCCATCTGATTGGAAAATAAATCAGTGTAAGAAAAGCAACGCTTGCTTGTTCTCCCAACCAGCCTCTGTGGATGCAATTAAGCCTCACTGGTTGTTAAACTATTGACAACATCTGAACAATGGGCACATTTATTGGACATACTTCAATTCAGCAGTTAAATGTGTTCTGCACATGGCTGTTCATATATCTGGTCTACTAATGTGGTCCAGTGGTTAGTATGCTCGCCTGGCAAGCAAGAGGTCTGGATTCGATTCCCGGGCAGGGCAAAACTTAAGGCAATTTCCTTACTCCACAAGCAATTGGCTGCTGCATTTTGCCCACAAATACAGTCAATCCACTCCACAATATATTCTGTGAAGCACTTTGAGATGTCTCACCAACGTGTTAAGGTGCTATATCAAATGCAAAGATTATTATTATTACTACTGTATTATTTTACTGACTATTTATGTATACCTCAGGTCTATCCAAATTACTTGCTATTAAATGTAACATGTGCTGGTAGCATAGTCTTGGAAACTATCGATTTAGCATTTTCTAGAGACATTCAAGAAGTGTAAAACTGCAGTGTACAAGATCTACAATTTTGAGCCATAGAACAGACACTTATGGCACACAAGTGGCTATTCGGCCCCATCGTGTCTGTGCCAACTCCCTCAAGAGCAATCCTTTCAGTCCCACTTACCTGCCCTTTCCGCACTCCCCTGCAGCTGATTCTTGTTTAAGGCATTTGTCTATTTCTCTCTTGAAAGCTAATATGGATTCTACTTCAACTACTGCTCCAGGCAGGGCACTCCATATCCTAACTACTCTGTGTGTGAAAAAAATTCTCCCAACCTCCCCATTTGCTCATTACCTTAAATTGATGCCCTCTACTGACTCACCAAAAAGTGGAAATAATTTCTCCTTATTGTCTATCAAAACCCCTCATAATTTCAAAGACCTCTATCAGGTCACTCAACCTTCTGTTGCAGTTTGCCCTCTAACAGCTTGTGGTGTGATCTCAATACTCCAATTACTGCAAACAACGGCAATAGGCGAAAAAATGTTTGCGTACAAAATACAGTCACTACATTTTACAGCAGGGGTGTGCAATTATTTTGGTTGACGGGCCACTTCACGAGTTTTGGTAAGCTTCGCGGGTCACTCACTTAATATCGATGCAAATGCTTAAATAATAGCTCAAAATCAAGTCTTACACTTGTACATGCATAAAATAAAGTCTATATAATTGACATTCATTAAAATTAGTTTAAATAAACTCATTGAACAGACATTTATTTGATATTTATTCATTTATTCACATAATGATGAGAATGTGAGAAGCTCACTCAATGGGAAGAATGAAAGCGCTGATGTGCGTTAACCAGACAACTGAAGTTTGAAAATTTGCCGATCCTTAAATTTCCAATGTCAGCCTGATTCAATAATTAAGGGAGCGTGTGTACAACTAAGCAGTGTGATTGGCTGATGTTCCTGGTCTGATTGAAATGCGAAATTTGTGGAGAAAGAAAACTAACGACTTTAGCAATTAAAAATAGATGCTGTGACAAAAGTAAGAAATGGAAGGGACGCATTTAAAACTGATCCTTTGTGGGACTGAACAAACTATAATTTTTTCTATTGCTAGACACAATGACGGGCTGGATAGAATCATTTCGTGGGCCGGATATGGCCCGCGGGCCATATTTTGCCTACCCCTGCTTTACAGTATATCCTGTGAAAAAGCATTCAGATGTTCTCTTGACATGAAAGTTTAAATTCAACAACAACAACAACAAGATTCCATTTATAGAGCGCCTTTCACGTCAGGAGGACGTCCCAAGGCGCTGCACAGTTGGGTCATGACCCGAGCAGGGGGGAAATGGTCAGGGTGAGGGGAGGGAAGGGAGGGAGAGAGGAGGGGGGAAATGGTCAGGGTGAGGGGAGGGAAGGGAGGGAGCGAGGAGGAGGAAGAGAGTCGAGAGGGGAGCTGAAGGCACGGTCAAAGAGAAAGGTTTTGAGACCGGCCTTGAAGGAGGAAAGGGAGGAAGCAAGGCGAAGGCACTGGGGGATGGAGTTCCAGAGCCTCGGGGCTGAGAGGCTGAAGGCCCGACCACCGATAGTAGGGCGGTTGGGGCGGGGAACGTGGAGCAGACCGGAGCCAGAGGAACGGAGGGTACGGGCAGGTAGGTAGGGGGATAGTAGGTTGGAGAGGTAGGAGGGAGCAAGGCCGTGAATGGCCTTGTAGGTGAGGATGAGGATCTTGAAATCAATCCTCTGGGGGATGGGGAGCCAGTGGAGGCGAGCGAGGGTGGGAGTGATGTGGTCCCGAAGCCTGGTGCGGGACAGTACACGAGCTGCAGAGTTCTGAATGACCTGCAGCTTGTGGAGGGAGGTGCGGGAAGGCCGGCGAGGAGAGAGTTCCCATAGTCCAGCCTTGAGGTGACAAAGGCGTGAACCAGGGTTTCAGCAGCAGTAATTCAAGGATTACTTACTATCAATACTAAAATCTTTATACTTTTATAAACTTTATAACTTTTACGGAGTTTACTGAACTCTCATCTTTCCAAGAGTTTTTTTAAATAAATAAAATAAGCGGTCAAGCCAAATTCAGCCTCCATACAAACACAGGATATGTACAGGATTGCCAAACAAGATAGTGAGCCTTTGGTGCATGTATAACAGCCTCAAGCTCCTGTCTCCTCAGTCCGTTTCCATTGAAAGTGCTACCCCTGGCAGGCTGCTTGGAGTGCAACCTGCTTGCAAAAAAAGTTTAACCATATTATTTGGGCAGACTGTTTGTTAGAGACACTCCCTGGGTTTCCTCTGCTCAGTTGGTCCCTGTATTGTACAAGTAACATAAGTAACTATTAAGATAAGAAAACACTATAATTGCTGCACTATTTTTCCTATGAAGGCAACAAAATGGGATTTACAAATCCACTATGATCAAATCAACTGGCTGACAGATTGGATGGGCTGAATAGTTTCCCCTGGTCCTACTTAAAGCACTCTTGCTTCAAAGGAAACTACAGCCTCACCTACAAACTAATATTTCCTAAACCAGAATTCATTAGAAGTTTTTAAATTCTAAATTTGAAAGATTTATGGTTCACAAAGGGTGGAACATGTTTGAAGGGACAGTAAGAAAGGCATTGACTATGATCCAGGAAACGCTGGCTACGGAATCAATGTTATTACAGATAACACTCCTACAATTGCTCACAACAATTGCTCACATCCTTCCTCAACATTCCCTTCAGATCACAACCTGCTACTGTGCACAGATGCTGTTTTCTTGTTGACTCCAATGGGAGGCGTAGGTCCCAGGACAGGAAGAAGCCAGAAAAATTGCTGGAGGCTTTTATTAAACCCATTTAAAAGTCACTAAAAGATCAGACTGATTAACCTTTATGGAGTTTATACATATTCAGTCATGTTATCTAATGCTAATTTTGCACACCAGGAAGCAATAAAAAAGACAGACTAGTTTTAGGCACCAGCTGATCCAACCCTATGCCAGATGGGTTCAGGATTTTTTGTGGTTTGCAAGGGCAGGCGAGTTGTCTGCCGACAGGACGGTCACTACACTAACTAGTGTAACTTATTTTGCACAAAGTGGTTTGAGACACTGGTGCAATTCCATGATATGATGTACTGCAATTATTAGTATGACACAAATGTTTTAATAAGAGAGATATACCCACTCCTTCTGTTTAGTTCCAAAGGTTTAGTCTAACCACTGAGTCAGAAAATTGTGGGTTCAAGTTCCACTTTGGAAATTTTAAACTCAATCTAGGCTGACACAAACAACAACTTGCATTTATATATCGCCATTTATGCAGGGTGGCATCTCAAAACGGTGCAACGCTGGGGGAGCCCCGTATTTTCAAAGGTGCCATCCTTTGGATGAGATCGGCATCCCGTCTGCCTGTTCAGGCAGATGTTTAAGATCCCGTGGCACGACTCATCTCCAATCATTTCTTCATTTCTCTTACCTCCCGCATCCTATCTGCCACCATCACTTTCTGCCCCAGCAGATCTAATCCAAGATCCTCGTTCTCAGCTTTAAATCCCTCCACCTTGGGGAGTCTTGCTCAACCCTACTTCTGCAACCTCCTACTAGTTGTTCCCTACGCTGAGTGAACACTGGCCTGCTTCATGTCCCCCCACCTTATCCATCACACCACTGACAGGGAAACTTTCAGCCGTTCAACCCTCTCAAGACTTCCCTCTTTGACTTTTGGTCATTTTTCCTTCCCGGCCCTATTCAGTCCCTCACCTCCCCTCCTCCCAGCTCAGGTGCCCAGCCAGCAATGTGAAGTAGTTTGAAATGTCTTCCTAACCTGAAAGGCCCTGTATAAATGTTAATGAATTGTAAACTAGATCAGCTTGCTGCTCAGGGTCCAGTGAATTGCTGTGTCACAGCCACTTACCTTTCCGGCTCACTTTTCTGGCTGCACTGCTCGAAGTCTTCTTTGTATCCATCACCGAGTCTAACACTGCGGTGCTCGTGGGCACAGCCTCCAGCCTGTTCTCTATGTGTCGCAGCTTTGGAGGAAAGTAGAAAAAACAAATATCACATTTGAGCTCAATGTGACTTTGAGCTCATACTGTAGACCCACACTCTTGTACAATGCTGGGGAAGCCCTGCTGTCCTTTGATGAATTTGTAAACTGAGGTTGCATCTACCTATTCAGATAAACATTACAGATCCCATTGCATTGTTCAAAAAGAAAAAGGAGTTTTATCCCAATGTCTTGGACATCAATACCCAAGCAAAAACAATTGGTCTACCTAGAACTACAATGCCCTTTAAAGAGTTAATCTCTGGGTGCAACTAATCTGTTCAACCTGGACACAACCAGGGAGCTGGCACTGCTAACAAATCTCAATTTGATTCTAAGAGGGCAAGCCATTCCCTAATCTGGGTGGTGACATGACCACACCCATCGTCACACTTCTTAGACTCAACTGGTGAAAGAAACAACTTTGTGGAGCTTTCTAGGTCTCATCACACAGATTTCTGAGGGATCTGGCGAAACCTCGAAGGCTTCACAGGTAAAAGTTTTTTTTAAAAGGGAACATTCGTAAAGGGAAAAGCACTAGCAATGATCCAAACATTTCCAATGTAAAAATCAAAAGCTATTGGTCCTTTGACCATGCGGCGCTTTACAAGTCCTAGTTACAAGGTAATTCAAAACATGAAGCTTCACACAGGTAACTTTAGGGACAAGCACTCTGAATTACTACAATAATCTGGAAGGTGTGTAAGCCTTGTTCAGTTGGTAGTACTCTTGTCTCTTTGTCAGAAGGCTGTGGGTTCAAGTCCCATGTGCTGTCCTTCAGATGAGGCATCAAACCAAAGTTAAAGGGCTCATGGAATATGCGAGTTTCTCTTTGCAGGTGTCCTGGCCAACAATTCTCCAGATAAAATTGATCACTCACTTCAAGGCATTTGTGGGACACTGCTGTTTGCAAATTGGCTACCGCGTTAGTCTACAAATAGAGTAAATGTGAGAAGCGCTTTGAGGCGTTTTGACATCATAAGGAACTATAACAAATGCAAGGATTATTATTATTTACAAGATACTTACAGCAGCTTTGGTCTTGGTAACAGTATCCCATGCTGAGGCCAAATCTAAAGATAAAAAGGAATAATTTCACTCGCCACCTTTCAAGAGATTTGAGGCAATGCTATTTTGTATATTTCTCATCACGAGGAGCCTGGCAATTATTTCATAAAATCAGCATATTTGGCAGAGATTAAAATAGATATAAACAGTGATTGGGAAGGATTATATTTAAAAGTGGATTCCCGGGTCGCAATTTAAACCAACTGAGCACATCAAGGGTTTCAGAATAAATTATTTCTGAATCCACTATGAAATACATGACCGTTTAATACCTCTGCAAGCTAGCCACTAGAATGGCACAGCAGGTCATTTCATCCCTTTTCACTGCCTTGTCCCCATACTTAGTAAATCCTTACTTTCTAAGTATCTATCTCTAGTTTACAGCTCACTGGAACAGAGCATTCCACATTTTCACAACCCTTCATTGCGTTGATTCTGTTCCTTTACATGGGAGTTTCTTACAGGAATCAAATCAGACTGCTGCTTACCCAATCGCTAAAGATGGTGCTTAATCGGTTAGTGCGAAATAGGGAATGACTTTACCTTGCCTCACTTCCCGACTTGGCGTCTGTCCTGGGTTTAGTAAGGACGCCTCATTTGATTTACTGCTCCACATCTTGTCAGCTCACCTGGAGTTGAAAACAGAGCAGTGTTTTAACAAGAAGCCAAATTTTTTCCTGTGCGTTTCATTTTAAAATTCTGGTATCACCCCTAAAGGTTCTCCACTCCTCAGGCAGCCCCGCAAGTCAATGTTAAACCAAGTTCTCACAGACTGAGAGTAGAAATAAATAAGTCACAGATCCCATTCCTTATTGTTTTCAGTGATCTCTGCTGCAAGCACAGAGGTGAACGCAGATAGGACAAGATTAATAATAATAATAATTCTTGCATTTGATATAGCGCTTTTCACATCTTCTAGACGTCTTAAAGCGCTTCACAGAATATACTGTAAGATTAGTGTCGGCTGTGATTTCCCCCATTCTAGAGAATGCTATTACTCGCAACCTTGGCCTGAAAGTGTTGACGGGCCATTGGGGTAAGTCACAGGAGGGGTTACAGGCACCTCTTGTACTGCAACCTGCCATGGGTTGCTTGTCAGGAGAGGAAAGAGAAGTAGCGTAGTGGTTAGAGCACTTGCCCCACAAGCAAGAGGAACCAGGTTTGATTGCCGAGCAGGATGAAACCTTTGGCAAGTTGCCATATTCCAGAAGCCTCTGGTTACCGAATTGTAAGTAGGAACCTGGTTGCTAGTCGATTGAAGAATCGCTTTCTGGGGTAATAATCCCTTCTTAAAAAAATAATAATTTGGTCACTCAATTCACGACTGTTTGTGGGACAGTGCTGTGCGCAATTGGCTGCTGCATTTTGCCCACAAAATACAGTCAATTCAGTTTACTGTACATTCTGTGAAGTGCTTTGAGACGTCTCAAAGACATGATAAGGTGCTATATCAAATGCAAAAGTTATTATTATTATCTGCTTTTGATTTCAGAGAGTACTCAACACCCCCAGGCATCCTGAATATAATCCTGAAATTAATTACACCCAGGTATTTTGATAAAACAAATAATGGTAAAACAAGCTTCAGTACAATTGCGGGGTGCTGGCAACTTCAGAATTGACCACAGCACATCATTTGATAACTCTGTTTCACTTCCAGGCACCTGTTACTCTATTTATATCACCTCTCTCTGTTGACAAGGCAGCTCCTGTGACCATTCCTGTGTTTCCACGAGTATAGGAATGTACAGCACTGTCAAAAAACATAGTAGCTCATCTGAATGGTTGTTAAAAAAAAGCCCTACTCCTATCCCAATCCTTGTCGCCAAGTAAATCATAATAAGTACTTACATTTAATACAGTGCCTTATCGCGTCTTCAAACCCACTCAAAGCGCCTTACAATATGCACTGGATGTATAATGATTGCGCATTTTGTAGGCAAACCTAGCAGCCAATTTACGCGCAGCAATGTCCCACAAATAACCATGAAGTGAAAAGCAGCTTTGCATTTCCCTCTTGAATACAAATTCCCTTCACAATGAAGCTCCCTTCACAGTGTCAACCAGATCTCTGGGGAAGACACAAGCTCAGGATAGAAAACATCACGGGGTAAGTCCCAAGCAGGTTTAGGGGCTGACTTGATGGCACGAGCCTAGAATCTGTGTGCCTAGAATTCTTTTCTGTCGAGGAAGAGGTCTCTTGCGACACACACAAAGCCCTTGCTAAATGATAGGTCTCTCGAATTTTCCTGTCAGTGCCTCCACAATGTGACACACCTGAGAGCCTGTGAACGTGCAAATATAAAGTCAAACCTTAATTTTATCTGTATATCACACACACTCAGACGCATCTGTGTAGCTCCTATAGAATCCAAAGCATAAACATGCAGAATTTAAATTATTTTGAAATAGACAGATAATAGACCTTAGATGTTTCAAAAATGTTTGCAAGCTTTGACTGTGACTTCAGTGTAATAAGGTTGCCAGTCGCCATTATGAAACGGGAATATGTGCAAGCAGCGACTCTAACAGCACTTCACTGTGCAACGAGCCAGAAGCAATGTCTGTGGTGACATACAATTCTGTAATTAAAAACATGAATTTTTTTAAAAAAAGTTTACCAACTGCAATTCAATTTCTATGATTTGCAAAAAACAAAAACTTTTTTTNATAAAAACACAGACTGAAGTCTTTTTATAATATATAGGAACAACCCCTAAATCTCCATAGACGACCATGGCAAATTAATGGCAGTAAATACCTCAACAGCTCACTGCTCCACTATGCCGAGCGTTAGGGTTGTATGTACCATTTGCATGAATCGAAGCAGCTTTCTTAACAGGTTACTTTCAAAATATACGATTCACTTGTACAACAAGCTTCCGCGCGGTCTATCGAACGCTGATCTTAATCTCAAGAACGAACATAGCAAAAAGATCCCTAACTCCTACTGTTAAAAATAAAATCAATGTCCTTCTAGAGTATCTCCTTATAAATGGAGTCAAAAATGAACCTGAAGCTGTGACTTCAATAATAAGAGCTATTTTTACTGTGCTTGTTCTCAAAGTGCCATGTCACAGTATTTACACAGCAGCTTCAATGTAAACCTTTCTATTTTCTTCCTGTCCTGAAGCACTTCCCAGCTGTGTTTAACTTCGAACAACCAGCTAAACAAGCCTGTTTGGTCCTGGATTTCTTCTAGGGGCTTTCCTTTCTAAACCAAACACTGAGTCAGCATTTACGACACTGCCTATGTAATCATGCTCATATCTTCATATCTGTGTAGCTGTCACTGATTTCCGCACACATGACCAGATCATGTGGAATACCAATCCTTTAGATGCAATATTAAACCCAGGTTTCTTTTGCTTGTTGATCAGGCTGACGCTAAAGATCCCATGACATTATTGGTAAAGAGAAGCAGCCTCTGCCAACAGGATTAAGTGGTTACTCCTCTCACGGCTATTTGCAAGTCCTTACTGGCACAAATAGCAGCCACATTTGCCTACAAAAAAAGTCACCACACACGACAGTGATTTCTTGGGATGTGCTTCCAGACATTGACATACAAGATGGGGGGTGGTCTATGACCAGATGATGTGTATGTAAGATGGTCACAAGAAGCGTGAAAGAAGAGTTTAGGAAAACTTTTTCATGTGTGGTTTGCCCTGTTTAGTAAGGTGGTAGAGGCAAAAGTCCATTGTGGGTTTCAAGAGAACAGTAGATGGAAATAAGACTGGTATGTGAAAGATATGATGTATGGGCAATGGGATTGAATAGATAACTTGCTCTGAGAGCCAGACTTGATGGGCCAAATGAACTCCTTTGTGCCCTGTTTTCTATGATTCTATTATGGTACTACAAGAATCAAGCTCTTAAAAATGGAAAGCTTTTCCAGCTAAAGTAATAATAATGCTTGTACTCAATATAGCAGCTTATCGCGAACGTCTCAAAGCGCTTCATAGAATATACTGTAAAGTGAACTGACTGTATATTTTGTGGGCAAAACCTGGGTTTTGATCTGAGGAGCAGAAACAGGCGGCATTAAGCGTTTTGACCCAGAAGTAGAATCATAAACATTTACAGCACAGACGGCCGGCCATTCAGCGCAATAAATCTGCACCGGCAAGCTGTCCATTCAATCCCATTGCCTGCTTCGCCTCATCTCCATAACCTTTCAAATTTCTTTCATCTACCTAAACTGAACTGAAATGTGGTTCTCGAGGTCTCATGCTTTGTGATGCTGAGTTAACTCTGAGCCGACTGAGTGTACACTGTGCTCTGGTGTTGGTGCCAGTACAATGCATTATACATAATCCCCCCCACCCCCACCCCAATACAGTGCCATGTGAAATGCGACTGCATGTCTATCAACCACCTCAGGGCACAGGTTACACTAAAAGGGTCAGGAACCTAACTAAGAGTTAGAGGTTCCTTCCTGACTCAAGTGAATTCAGAAGATCCGAGTTCATCTGTAAGCAGAAAGTGATTTTATACACTTTCGCTGCATCTTACACTCAGCTCTGGTTGGTTTGCTAGTGGGTTAAAATTTCAATCCAAACCCCCGTCCCTCTCTCTCTTTGTGTGCGTCACAATTTCACTGAATCACATCTGTTTTGCGTACACTTTATTAACAAAAAGCATCAGGAATGTGAAATTCAGAGTTGACGGTACAAAATAAGCTTGTGCTGTGGCAAGTAGTTAAGCCGAGGGTCGGTGCTAGCAAGGAGGATAGCAACTTGGAGAGATATTTTGACTTGGGTTTCTTTGCTAATAAATTCCCTACGAATGATTTATTCACCAAAAACTTTGACCATATCGATGTTCTGCATTTGCACATTACAGATGCTCCTTTCATCCTTTCTGCAAAGTGAAATACACTTGTTTGGAAGCCCTGCAGGGCAGAGCTCACCCAGATTTGGGATCTGAGAACAGTTGGTAACCCATAACCCAGCCATTCAACATCCTCCCCCAGCCCCAAAATCTCCAATACAGAGCAAGAGGTTGGAGGTTGATGCTTGGGTCTTGTCTTACCTTGATGTCTTCTTACTCTCAATGCTGAGGCACCAGGACTTTGTCCTTTCTCTTATACAGTGGAGCCTACTTAAGGTCATGCCAACAGAAAGGTATTAGTAGGAGGAGCTTTCCCAGTGTTCCAAATCCAACCATATCAACTGCCATATTAAATAAAATCCTGGCTAGGATCAAAATGGTGAACGGACTTTAAAGCCATTAAATCATTGAGCGCTCCCAAATCTATCATTAACTTGAATGACTACTCAGCTCACTACTTCTGTCACTGGAATCCAAATCCACACTCGTGCTAAAATGTACATTGGGTGTTTGGGATGGGCTACTGAATCAATACAGGCAAGTAAGTGGATATCGCCTTTTTAAAGAAAAAATGCAATAACAAAATCTCTCTCTCTGCCCTCTAGTGAGTGTTAACGTGGCAATGTGAGACTGATCTTAAGACGGCTCCACTGTCATATCAGACCAGGTGTTTCCCAATCGTCCACCGGCAAACTTTCCCAATCTTCCATGTGAGCTTCTGAAAGCAGCCCACTCCCAGCTCCCAGCACAGACTGCTCTGAAAGCCTTCAATCACCCACCCAGGTCACATTCCAGCTGCTACGTCCCGCTAATCCAGCCCTGGCTCCTATGGACTGGCACAAAGAATGGGAAATAAACTCAGCCGCCGGAGTCTTCCCGGAACAAGTCAATAGCGGGAAGACTCGGAATGGGTTCGGCCAAGAGTTGACTATTATATCCAATTTCCCTGTGAGATTTTCTACATTGTTCAAACATCTGGAAGTGGTCCAGGATATGTAAAAACAGCAACCATTGTATTTTAATACACGGGAAAATAATGTAATTTGCTGTGTGCCTCCGTTACTAGATTCCGGTCAGGAAAACCACTGACTATATCTCCTGTAAAGGGGCAAACAGAGAAGTTATTTGTTGCAGCTGAAATGTCACTGGGTGCTGTCCAGCTACTGTTTCGGATGCCAGTTTCATAATAAGGAGAGTCCTAACTCTGTGAAAACTACAACCTTTGAAGCGCCCTGCTCCCTGTTAAATAGAAGCCAACTGCTAAACCCAAACAAAAAATAATCCTCCAACATTAACACAAAACGATCACAACATTGCACTGGAGACATGTTTTGCTTCATAAATAATATGAACAATTCCAATCGGAACAGAACAAATGCATATCAAAATGAAAAAAAAACTTCACGTAGGAAGTACGATTAAGTGCACTTTCCCTGCAAGTGCCACCAGGGTCAGGAGCTGGTCAGAAACGTGAGTGAACCAGTTTAGACCAGCTTAAACCGGCTCCAGCTTATTCTGAGCCTGAGAGAGAGAGAGAGAGAGAGAGAGAGAGAGAGAGCGCGAGAAAACAAAGTATTGTCCAGCTCAAAGTCTGTTCCGTTTGATTTGATCCGTACTGAGAAGATAGAGAGATAGATGGATATTCCTGTAGTTGCAAACAGTCTTCGAAACTGGTTTGACTCGGCTTAAATTAATATCGAAAACAAAAAAGAAAAAGAAAAGTGGAATTGAGTCTGTGTCCGGGCAGAGGTGCCGAGTGGCGTTCAGTGCCCGGTAAAACTGGAACGTGTCAATGACAGCGAGGTGTCCGTGTCACCTCTCATGTGAATGCCTCGTCGTCTGTGTCTTCGATCAACACATTGGTGTCCCTGGGTTTTGATCTGAGGAGCAGAAACAGGCGGCATTAAGCGTTTTGACCCAGAAGTAGAATCATAAACATTTACAGCACAGACGGCCGGCCATTCAGCGCAATAAATCTGCACCGGCAAGCTGTCCATTCAATCCCATTGCCTGCTTCGCCTCATCTCCATAACCTTTCAAATTTCTTTCATCTACCTAAAATAATAATCCTTGCATTTGATATAACGCCTTATCACGTCTTCGAGACACCTCAAAGCACTTTACAGAATATACTGTAAAGTGAATTGACTGTATACTTTGCGGGCAAAACGCGGCAGCCAATTACGCACAGCAGCTATATCTACTGTCTACTCTCTCCAGCACGTTACTTACAGCACTCTGAGATGCAAGTAGTTGTTATTACTTAGCAAGACATCCACATCCGAACAACTCTGCGTTCCATCCTTTTGGCAGCACAGCCAAACTTGTCACCAGGAAACACCACAGAAACATGCATCAATTGCCACCTCAAGTGTCAAACATTTTATAGCAGAGGGCTCAGGTGGTAAAAGCACTGTCCAACGTGAGACAGGATCTCATCAATTTAAGCTCGGGATCATTGCTTCAAATTTAGGTTTTCATAGATTCATAGATTCATAGAATGTTACGGCACAGAAGGAGGCCATTCGGCCCATCGAGTCTGTGCCGGCTCTTTGACAGAGCGTCACTTTCACTAACCCCAATCACCAGCTTTCTCCCCATAACCCTGCAAACCCGTCTTCCCCAGATACCTAGCCAGTTCTCTCTTAAAAGCTGTTATCGAATCGGACTTCACTATCCTTTCAGGCAGATCATTCCAAATTCGAACAACTCGCTGAGTGAAAAAATTTCTTCTAACCTCCCCTCTGCTTCTTTTGGTAGATATCTTAAGACTGTGACCATGGATCACAGACACACCTACCAGCGGAAACAGCTTTTCCTTATCTCACTTGTCGAAACCTTTCATGATCTTGAAGACCTCTATCAGGTCCCCGCGTAACCTTCTCTCCTCTAATGGGAAAAGTCCTAACTTCTCCAGCCTGTCCTCATAGCTAAGGTTCCCCATTCCAGGTATCATTCTCATGAATCTCCTCTGCACCCTTTCCAGTGCCTTAATGTCCTTCCTGAAGTAAGTGCCCAGAACTGGACGCAGTACTCCAGCTGAGGTCCAACCAGTGTTTTGTATAGATTAACCAAAATCTCCCTACTCTTATACTACTTATACTTAACAGAATTTTGAAAGGTTCCATCTATTGTCTGTGTGGTTGACTGATCTCAGCCTTGAAGATAGTAAAAGATGTTCCAAACAGTTTCTTTCAGCTTCTTGAAGCTCATCCCAATATTAATAATGATTTGGTTACTCAATCCACAGCTATTTGTGGGACACTGCTGTGCGCAATTAGCTGCCGCATTTCGCCCACAAAATATACAGCAAATTCACTTTACACTATATTCTGTGAAGCGCTTTGAGACGACTCATCATTATAAGCCGCTATATCAAATGCAAGAATTATTATTATATGATTCCTCCAGTCTACTCTCATGTCTCCGCTCCCTCTCTCCAGTATTATTTCCCCGCGCCTCCCTCCCACTCTCTAGTCTGCTCTCCCCATGTCCTCCCTCCCTCTCTTTTGATTTTAGTTTTTGTTGTGTCCGCCTCCAGGTACTGGATTGAAACGGTCCCAAACTCATCCCATACAGAACCCTCACTGCCACGAAAAACAAGGGAACTTCATCCCCTGAGTCTGGACAGCATTCAATCCCAGGTCTTAGAGGTGATCAGTCAGTGGCTAATTCACTGTGCTTTCCGGTGATGAGATAACTTGTTCAGGACATCTTTAGATCATCTGTCAGCAGTAAGAGCAGTTCTCTCACTGCTGGACATCTGATAGTTTTGAGAAGTATTCTTCCTCAAATTGTATACTGAAATATTATCATACACTGTGCAACAAAGTGCTCTTGCGTTACTGAGCAGCGAAAAACACTAGATTGTGGTATAACGATGCAACGTCCAGTTTCCCAACTGTGCACTGTATGATTGAAAACAGATAGTAGGTATCTCTAATTCTCACTCTTAAGCAAATCTGTCTGGTTAACCACCAACAATACCATTGACTACTGTGGACTTTCCCAGAGCATCTCCCCAGTTCAACCCCAGGAAGACCTCCCTCGCCTTCACCCAAATCCAAATACAACGAATAGAAATTTCAAACAATTTTTCTAAATAAATGAGTCCATTACTTCTTTCTGTGTGATGTTGGTACCCAAAACAAGTCACACGTACGTCAAAGAGGTTGGGGGAAACCCACATTGCTGCAGTGGCAGCAGACCACCACTGGGGTCAGTGCTGCTGCTGTAAAATCCAGGTCCACACGGAGAGAGTGAGTAGAGTTATGGAGACAATCTCAGGACAATTCTTAAGGTTCCAGTTTGTTTTTCTTCCCTTTCCCAGCCGGCCGGCCTGCATTCCTCAGCCATTCCCTTACCTTCGCCAGCCTAGCTTCCACCTACTATCCTTCTCTTTCTCTCTATAACCCAGAATATAGGGGCAGTAAAGCAGTACAGCCGAGCCCGATGCCATCTACATACAGCATCCACACCTACGTCACGGCTCGGGTCACCGCAGAGCAATCAGGTTAGCTGGGCTCATTTCCTATCCCCACCTCTTTGTCTCACATCTGTGTCTGTCTAATTTGGCTGCCCATCATCAGACCTGGGGCGTTCAACTACAGAGAGATTCATTTGCAGTTTTCAAGCTGTGGTGGTTTGGGTCGCTGGAGTGAACGTACGAGGTGCTGGTGTGTGACGTGCAGTGTGAAAGTGAAGGAATGAGAGCTGGTGTACAGTGAGAGAGAAGCAATGAAAGCTGGTGTGTTATGTACAGTGTGTGAGGAGTGAGGAGCAGTGTGTTATGTACAGTGTGTGAGGAGCAGTGTGTTATGTAGTGTGTGAGGAGTAGTGTGTTATGTACAGTGTGTGAGGAGTAGTGTGTTATGTACAGTGTGTGAGGAGCAGTGTGTTATGTACAGTGTGTGAGGAGCAGTGTGTTATGTAGTGTGTGAGGAGTAGTGTGTTATGTACAGTGTGTGAGGAGCAGTGGGTTATGTACTGTGTGTGAGGAGTAGTGTGTTATATACAGTGAGAGGGAAACAGTGAGGGGCTGTTACGTACAGTGAGCCAAGAGGCTTCTTCAGGGAGATGCTGTAAGTGCGCTTCCATGCTTTCTGTTTCTGGCGGTTCCGGACTCCATCCTCCAGGTCCATCATTTGCTCCAGGAGTGTCTGGTCATCGGCATTGAGCGGTGCCACAGAGATATCCCGAACGGCACGGAATTCACCACAATTGTTCAGGTGCTCGTTCTCCAGGCGGAAAAAATTCCACACAAAGCGCCTGGGTGAAACACAAAGGCCAAGGGTTAGTGAGCACTCTCGCTCTGCGTGACGATGCTTCTCATTAGCGGCACAATGAGCCGATAATAATAATAATAATAATAATAATCTGTGCTCTCCTCTTGCGGGTGATGGAGTTTCAGGAAGGTGATTGTACAATCAAGGAGTCAATACGTGGCAAATGAGTTGTGGTCAGCACCCCGCGCCCCCCCACCGAGTGGAAATCAGATAATGAGGAGGAAAATGCATTGTTTCATAACAGATTCAATGGGATAATTATCACACGTGAAGAAACCTCACAACTTCAGTCAATCAGTATTACTGCTTTACAATGTCAACACCAACACAGTGACTTGGACACCACAGTTGTGATCTCTGTTCCTGACTTGGATCCAGGTCACAAGAGGTGACCCTAATGTCGTGCCAAGTCACTGAATACGACCCTGATTCAGATTTATAAAATCAAATAGTTTATGAAACATGCATAGTGGTTAGAGCACTCACCTCACAAGCAAGAAGGCCCAGATTCAATTTCCAAGCAGGGAAAAACCTTAGGCAAGTTTCCTTACTCTACCCCTCTCTATTTACCTAATAGTAAGTAGGAACCTAGTTATTAGTCAATTTGTGGGGGTCTCAAAGCACTTCACAGAATATACTGTAAAGTGAATTGACTGTATATTTTGTGGGAGAAACGCAGCACACAGAAGTGTCCCACAAACAGTCGTGGATTGAGTAACCAAATTATTTTTTAAATATTTTTTGAAGGGATTATTACCCTCGGAAAAGCAATCAGCCAATCGACTAACAATTTACTGCTATGTAAACAGAGGAGTGTGGAGTAAAGAAGCCATTGTTAATGGTCACACTCTGCTGGTGCCGTGGAATGGGCAGAGATGCTCTCAGATTAGTCAACCATTGGTGGTGAGATGTCATGAACATGATTGAAAAAGAGAATGGAGTTTTGCCCGGTATCCTGGCCAACACATTCATTGGTTGTTCATTTCATGGGGTTTAGCTGCACAAATGCCTACTCTGTTTACCTACAAAAAAACAATCACTTCACCCAACAGTAATTCTTTTTAAAACACTTAAGAGATGTTCTGACATGATAAAAATGGAACAAATCTCTCTTGGTTCTGAACTGTTTTGATGTAAATGACATTACCGGAAGACTTCCAGAGGAGCCAGCACAGTGGAAATGATGAGCAGCTGATTTGAACTCAACACGTTCAAGGAGTAGAGTGAGATTTGGACAGTCCAGGCAAAGCGTAGAATGACATCCTCAATTATGGCACAGTAGTAATAGCTCTGTATAATAAGAGAAACAAACAGCTCAGTAACCTTCCAATAAGAGATAGCATATTATTCTTTAACTGTTACCTCATCTGACAGAACAATCAGGTTACAGTGCCAGGGCTGTTTCTACACCAGTGCTCTTTGCTCAGATGGACAGGTAACTTGATGCTCTAGCTATCAACTATATGTTCATCCAAAACTCTGCTGCTATAATCTCTCCCATAAGAGAAGATAAAAAAGGAGATAAAGAAGAAGATAAAAAGGAGTTAAGAAGGATAGAGAAGGGGATAGACATGGGATAGTGATGGGATAGAGATAATAATAATCCTTGCAATTGATATAATCTTTGCATTATCACATCTTCGATACATCTCAAAGCGCTTCACAGAACATACTGTAAAGTAAATTGACTGTATAGTTTGTGGGTGCAAAGCAGCAGCCAATTATGCACAGCAATGTCCCACAAACAGTCGTGGATTGAGGGACCAATTTATTATTATATTTCTTTGGAAGGAATTATTACCCCCGGACAAGCAATCCACTAATTGACTAACAACTGGGTTCCTATTTACTGCTAGGTAAACAGAGGTGTGTGAGTAAGAAAACTTGCCCAAGATTTCGCCCTGCCCAGGAATCAAACCCAGGTCTCTCACTTGCGAGGCGAGTGCTCTAACCACTAAGCTACAGGACTCCACAACAGATGGGATACAGATGGGATAGGTAGGTAGGTAGGTAGGTAGGTGGGTAGGTAGGTAAGAAAGAAAGAAGATCAGAAAGAAGAAGATAAGAATTGTTTACCTATTCCCATATGTTTAGTGCATGTTGGCAAGAGTGTGCTTTGGGGGGTGGGGATGGGTGGGAGGATGGTATAGATGCCATTTAACCAGCTAAACCATGCAGTCTACCAATGAAGAGTAAGTTACCCCATAAGTTGATCAGCTAGGACCGCTCTTAGGGCTTAGCCCTGTTAGGGCTTTGGTTTATGGGATTATGAGGACCCAATTGAAAAAAAAACGTAGCCCCACCAGTAAGTGGTCTGTCTGTCTAACTTCTCCCACAAGTCAGCCTGGCCTAAATATTAGAAAGAGAATGGATTAAAGGAACTTAGATCTCCCAGCCCACAGTAAACCCACAGCCAGTGTGGCATAGAGTGGGTGTCCCACACACATACATACTTTCTGGGGGTAGACAATCTCCTCCCGCAGGAAGGTATTCTCTCCAGCATTCTTGTCAAACAGACCCCAGTCCATCTTTAAGTCCCACGTGAGGGTGTAACAGGAGCTGATCACCAGGCAGACAATCCACAGGTATAAAAACACCTCTGCATCATTGTGGTTCCGTTCTGTAAGACACACAAGAAACATGGTCACCCTTTTTTCCATTAACATGAGAGAGCTCTTCACTGCAACCTGCAACTGGCTTGAGTACCAGACATCAGACCAGAAGATTCTGGGTTGACTCCAACCTTTACCCTTTCGAGACTAATAAAGTGACTGGTATAACTTTATCTGTACAGTTCTCCCAGAAGAGTCAGCAAGAAAAAAAGTCGAAGGCAGAGTCATTTTTAGCGTATATAATAATCCTTGCAATTGATATAGCTCCTTATCACATCTTCGAGATGTCTCAAAGCACTTCATATGCACAAGGTTGTACTGTTTCCTCCACATGTCTCCTCCCGCTGGAGTATGATTCCACAGGTGCTGATTTCTCTGTACTATCTCAGTGAGGTGGCCGTAAATGCTAGTCTCTGCAGGGGGATCAGTCAGGCTCTGTCTGCTGGAAGGTGTGTGTAAGGACAGGAGCAGCAACCCTGACAAATTTTCCCCTCCTGAGCCCAGAGGCTTTGGGGGTTGGAGGTGTGGGAACTGAGGTGCCATGCTTGGCAACAGTAAGTTGGAATTGAGTCCATCCTCTATGGTGGTCTCAGCAGTCCAGAGCCAGGCGGGTCCGCAGATCTCCAGGGCACCACATATATCAGTCACCAGAAAAATAGCTCAGATGTCAATTCAGCTAACTCAGCAAGGACTGTGAATGGAATCTGGGACTTTCTAATATTTATGGCCTTAGTCCATCGCTAAAACTCATGTTACACAAGTTAAAAATACACCTGGCATTTTAGGCAGCACACCTACTGGGATCTGAAGAACAAATAGCAGACAATACGCCGGTAATGTGAACAGTGAGGTGAAGAGGGCCGTTTAGCAATGAGGCCCCTTGGACTATTATGAAATCCCTACCCTGTCACTTGCAGTTATTTAGCCCTTTCGAAAGTGTAAGGACACTGGGGTGGCTCAGTCACACATGACAGCACAGTCACACATCATTTTTCTTACAAGTAACAATAAAGGCCTCATCGTGTTATTCCCAAATAGAAAGCATTTCCCAGAACATTCAGCTAAAAATAACGCTATGAAGTTGCCAAATCAATGTGTGAAAATAGGCTGTAATCTAAAACGCTGACGGGCAATGTGATCGTTCCACTGACCCTGCACTCACAGCAGACAGCAGACACATTGCAAGGTGCAAAACAGGACAGGGACAGAGTATTGAGCTCTCATTGCTATATTTAACAAGATTTCATCCAGATTCCCAAAATCCCAAAAGTGCAGAATAATGCATTCAATGTGAAAATGCATTCTCCACCATGTTCAAGGCTTCAAATATTCGATAACAGCACATTTCTTATTAAGTCATCAGTAAAGAAATACGGCCTAAAGTCCCCATTGAATCGCTTATATGTATCATCACATAAAGGCAGGGATATCACTGCTGCATTAGGAACTGAACCACAATTGCTCTGAGTAATAATTCACTGTGAATTACACAGTCAGCAGAAACTCAATGGCAGCACAAACTCCATCAGTAAAATACATGTTTAGTTTTGGTGAGAAAATAAGCAGACACACAGCTCTGCGACCAGTGATTCATTGCCATGCCAAACACCCCCTCAGCCTCGATAGTGGGCTGGCTCTGGCTCCCCGCGTTCATATTTTGTTGCATTAGGTTTTGAAGTTGGGCTTTAACCCTTTCATTTATTCCCGAGTATAGAATGAAACACAGGAACCCGGATGCTCAGAACAAGGCATCCCACAGGATGCATATTATCTGCCTACTTGTTCTCCATCTCAGTACAAGTGTATTACACAACAAGCTGCAGTGTGTTTACGATTGTGAGGGATTGCCACAAGCGACACTCTGAAAGCTCAGCCATGCAATAACAAGGCTTCCCCCAGCTGCACAGCTGCAAGGCTTCCTTCCGAGGCCAATGGTTATTTTAAAATTACATTTCTGTTGCATATTACATGACGCTGTGCACTATATAGTATTATACAGCATTATTTATAAATTCCAGATTACTTTTGAACATATTTTATTAATCTACAAAAATCCAAGTGGAGCAAAACATACAGCACAATTGACCAGAGAGCTTTCTTAACCTCCACCGCCCAACTCAACCAAGTAGCAATAATTGGTTTGTAGGCCCACCTGCAGTGTTCAATGCAATAGCAAGGCTGGAATCGAAATTCACATACAATTAACTGAGATTAGAACCTCAAAAGGTTCTAACCTCGTGAGGTGTTTGTACTTGTGAGAATTAGCTCACAAATACAAGCACCCCATAAAATAGTGCTTACATTTGACTTAATGCCTGATCACAGCAGAGCATCTTAAAATGCATCACACTAACTGAAGTGTGGGCAAACAGACAGCTAATCTGTGCTCGCACATGTAGCAATAAACTGAATAAACCTGTATCTTTGGTGAATTTGAATGTGGGGTGAATATTGGCCCGAGATCGCTTGTTATTTTGACATTTGCTGTTGGATCTTTAATGTCCACCTGAAGAGACGGCCCTCAGTTTAATGTCTAATCCTAAAGACAACATCAATACAGCACTCCCCCAGATCCATGTTATTAGTTTATGAGCTCAGATCTGTTCACCAACAGTTTTCTGTCACATTTTCAATTCCTGACTTTTCCCAAAACATATATTGGAAAATGTTGTGGTCCTTGAAGAGACTTAGCAGGGGAAGGTAGGTCGCAGAGACCGTTTTTGTTTGTATATTATTTTGGTCAGCCATACCCACGCGGAAAACCATCATCGTGCTTAACAGTATCCAGACCAGACAGAGTTCCACCTGACACCGACACACGGACATTTCCTGTCTGGATTGGAATGCACACTCTTTACCTATAGGCACATAACCTGCTTACCTAGTTACCGAAAGTACTAGGCGCTGGTGCAAGAGTAATGGACTGGTGACCCCAGTTGGAGTGTGCGTTGGAGGCACCCCCATCCCTCCAGTCGTTGCCGGGCTACACTGGCTCCCTGTTGCAGAATGGATCGATTTAAAGATCCTCAGTACAAATCCCTTCACGCCCTGACACCTCCCTGCTGCTCCGACGTGCTTAAACTCCACTCCTCTACCTGCAATTTGCTCAGCTGGTTCCGGCCTCCCGCACGTCACTGGGCCCCTCCGCTCCACAATCGGCGGCAGCAAGCTCTGCTACTGTTTATACATTCTGAGACACTGCCCTGCATGAAAGGTGCGAAATAAATACAAGTTGTGGCTGGAGTTGTTGGCCGCGCTTTTAGCCACTACGCCTGGAAACTCAGGAACAGCCTTCCTCTATCCCTCCGCCTTGCCCCTTCCATCCCCATCTTCAGCTCGTGCCTGAAGATCTTCCTCTTTGACCTCTTCGGTCACCTCCCCGCGGCTTGGCATTGTGCTCCGCCACTGGCAATCGCTCTGGGACTGTACTCTGCATGAGGGGTGCTATATAAATGCAAGTTGTTGTTGTTGTTGTGCTAAAACTGCAAAGCTTGCCCTTGTGAACCATTGTCTGGTAAGCTTCCTGCTGCTCATTTGGACCATCCTATCTGTTGGGGCTTTGGGCTTGTCCTGTTAACCCTACAAGCCCAAAGCCCCAACTGAGTGGGAAGAATCCCTGATCTCAGTGGGAATGCAGATCATAGTCATTCCATTCAAAAATAAGTTACAATAAAAGCCCTTTGCTCTGGTGAATCACACTATGCGCCTGGTAAAGAAAAAATAGAACAATTTTGAAAAGCTTTGTTCTTACTCTGTGAGTCACAGAGTGGATACAGCGACGGTCAATATCACATAATAATAATCCTTGCATTTGATATAATGCCTGCCTTATCATGAATTTGAGACGTCTCAAAGCACTTCACAGAATAAACTGTAAAGTGAATTATCTGGATATTTTGTGTGCGAAACGCGGCAGCCAATTGCACACAGCAATCGTGGATTGAGTGCCAAATTATTTTTATTTATTTTGAAGGAATGTGAATTTGCATGGTCTGTGAATGTGTAAGGGGGAGAGAGGAAATGGCTCAAAACGTTTGCTTGCCCCAAGTTAAACCTTTTCAGAGTTTAACTTAGGGAAAATGTTTTTATGTAAAATGCTAGAGCAAATTAATAAGAGATATTTATATTTATAATTGCTTTGTTGGGGTGATTTTCCTCTCTCTCTCTCTCTCTCTCTCCATCTTTATATAAATCCTGCCTCAAACCTACTTCTTCATATCACATATCACAAATCACCCTGCTGTACTACATAGCCCAAACCTCAAAGACATTTATGTGAGACAAAATATATTTGTATGGAAATCTCTACAGCTACCTTGGGAGATCAAGTTGACCAACATTGACATCTAAATGCCTGCCTCTTCCCCACACCACTATGAATGGGCCTCCGTGCTGCCTCCTCTATCCCTTGTGGGTCCAACACTTTGCACTCGGCTCCTCTTCTCTGCTCAGCGTACACTGGAATTTAGCTGTGGAAAGCCACATCCTATCCTAATCTAACGCATTAAGATAGAATCCTGGCTAAGCCTACACTATAGTGAATGGGAGAAAACTATTCTTCAGCCCTGGAGCAAACATTCTCAAAGGAAAATACAAGTATTCATCAAGAAAACAAGAGTTCTTTTGTAAAGTCTCGAGTGTGATTTTATGCATTGGTAACCACGATAAATGCTCCCATATCTACTAAGTACACAGATTTCCCTCAAGTGATGGTCTCAGATTAACAGTGAAATGCAGAACAGTGAATCCAATCATTCACATCTGATTGTCTGACGCTCATGCTTTGTGAAATCTCGCACTTCTTTTCAATGCACTGATCGACTTTAAAGGAAAAAGTTAAGAGCGAGAGGCGGTTGGCTACAAGGGGAAAGGGGGAAGGGGAGGTGACCGTAAGCACAATCAAAAAGGAAGGTCTTTAGGCACGATTTGAAAATAGGGAGGGCAGGGGGCAAGGTGGAGGGATTGAAGGAGAATTCCAGAGTTTCGAGGCATGTGGCTGAAGGCACGG